CCGTTTCTGTGACATTTCGGTGTCCGGGCCTGGTGTTTCAAAATAATTAGCTTTCGCCATATTACTTTATCCCCCCCCCCCCCCCCCCCCAGAATATTTCTCTCACTCTCACTCTCATCTTCTCTCACCCTCACCCCCATTCTCACTCTTGCTCTCACTCTCACCCCTCTTGGCTGAAATATTGCCGAGGCGTCGTCTGACTCCCCAAAAGAAATAAAGAAAAAAATCGCACAAGACTCGTTGGGCAGGATCTTTCTGGTCGCCTTCCCTTTTTCCCCACTAGCGAAAGAAAACCGGGAGAGCGTTTCTAAACAAAGAGGGAAGAAGAGAGAAGGGGCTTTGGCAAGGACAAAAGGCGACTCAACCCATCAACTGAGAACAGGCCCTCTTTTTCCTCATCAATAGCTAGATGTCTAGCTTTGAATAAAAGAACCTTCTCAAATAAGCTGGCCTCGTCCCATCCCTAAAACAAACCTCGTCGCCTCCGCCGCCTGTCTGCCAGCGACCCGTCCAGTTGAGTAACCAAATGAAGGCATGCGACCACGAAAGGACAGCGCAAGAGTCAAGAGAGAGAGAAAGAGAAAGCGACAAGAGAAGAAGTAATCCACCATCCATCCGTGCATTAGATTAGTCTGGGTTCTGCCCAGCCAGCCCCTGCTCAACCAACAGCGAAAAAGGGCATCGCCAGCGTTTATCCCCCGCGAACTCGAACTCGGCATCGGCTCAGCATAGCAACCTCGCCGCAGCCTGTCGAGCCTGTCATTGGATTGACCGTTTTGCATTGAAAATCGGCTGCAGCCAGCGCTAGCGCCGCCGCTGCAGAAAAATCGTCGCTGCAAGGGGAGCGGACTTGGGGAAGAAAAAGGAAAAAAGCGACGGAGGTTCCCTGTCGGAGGGGAATCTTGGTGGCCGGTCCATTGTTTCCCGGGTCACTGATTTGCGCAGGCCACTGCCCTGAGCAGGCGAGGTTGATGCACTAAAGCAGCGCTAAACGGCCGCTGGAAAAAAAAACATAACAATGTCGGCCGAGGAAACGTCGAATTACGCGCCACGGTCGCCGGACCTGTCGTCGTTTTTCTCGGGCAGCCCCACCCAGGCCGCACCTCATCAACTCCAAGCGTCAGCAAGCCACAGCCAGTCTGGATATAAAATACAGCCTCCCGCCGACCACTTTGGAGCCATACGAGCCGACACTTCCTCCTACTACGTGCCTCCCCCCTACGGCGCCTATCCCCAAACCCCCGTAGCGACGCCCACCGGCCAGCCCAAATACGAGCCCTATCTCCCGCCCTCTCTACCCCAGCGAGCGCAAAGCTTCGAGGCTCAAGGCCAAAACGCCGCACCTCCCGTATCGTACAGGCCTGACGAACGAGTCTTCAGACCTTCGCTGCCGCCGTTGGCCACGCCCAACGGACCCTACAAATCTTTCGGAAGCGCCGTCCTGCCTTCGTCCTCGTCTTCAGACATGCCGCCGCGAAAGGTAGTGGCGCCTCCGCCCCCTACGCCAGCCGTCGAGCCGTCTCCTGTCCGGACAAAATTCCCGACGGCCCGGATCAAGCGGATCATGCAGGCCGACGAGGAGGTGGGCAAGGTCGCTCAGCAAACGCCCATTGCTGTGGGCAAGGCATTGGAGCTGTTTATGATCCAGCTCGTGACAAAGAGCGCAGACGTTGCCAAGGACAAGGGTTCTAAGAGAGTCACGGCGTCCATGTTGAAGCAGGTGGTGGAGGCGGACGAGCAGTGGGACTTTCTTAGAGAGATTGTTGGCCGCGTGGAGAACGAGAAGGAGGGTAGCAAGTCCAAGGCCAAGGCCGAGAGCGAAACCGACGAAGAGATGATGGAGGAGCCCAAGAAGCGAGGCAGAGGTGGCCGTCGTAAGAAGGTACAATGACCTCGAACACGCACGTTTGATGACGGGTACGAAGATTTTGACGACTGGCGTTTACTGGCATAAAAACATACCATATTGTGATTATCATACAACGGCGTTGGGGACGGACATATTCGGGATGGCGGTGGAACTCTAGATGGCTTTGTAGTTGTGCGGCCCTCTACCTACCTAGATGCGCACGACAACTACGTGAGGTGTCTTGGTGCTGTAATCATTTTTTTTTCTCTCTCTCATTGCCACATGTCCACTTAATTACCTAGTAGTAACTTTCACCTTTCACTACCTTGGTGGTATTTTCCAGCTAAAGACGAACAAGACAGAAATGCGCGTGCGGCTTGCAAGTCGCAAGATACCCCTTGCAAGGTTTGGGTTTCTGATACAGCGGATGGCTTGTGACGGGTGAAGCCGCTGCGTTTCACGAGCAGGCTGCGACGGCGAAACGGAGCTGTCCACGATCCGTATTGTATTGCCGTTGAGATCCATGTTTTTTTGTCTTCACAACGGCGCCCTTCTGTGTCTGTCTGCTAATGCGCAAGACAATTGTAACCTGAATCCTATGCGGCGTACGAAATGCCGCCGTTTATGCACGTGTGTATGTGTGTTGCTGGTGGTGGCCCAGATCAGATCAGATGAGCTCAAACTGCATTGCATTGGATAGGTAGGTACTAAGGCTATACTCGGTATATGGTGTTAAGATGGTGAGCGAGTAATAAGCGTTCAGGGGACTTTACGGGTTTGGCCAGCCCTCGGCCGGGAGTGCGTGCAGCAGAGTCAGGTCAGGTCAACTTTAGGTACCTAGCTGCATATGGGCATGCGCGTACAATTGAGTACATGCGTATCGCATCCGCTTGAACGGACAACTGCTGCACTCCGTAGGACCACGATGCTGGGTTGCGAGATGCTTGCAAGTTTTACAGTGGCTGCGGACAAGTTCAATTTCCCATGTCAACGTATCCTGGATAGTCGAGAGGCAGCTTGGCCAGGACTTCGGAGGGCAGACTTTCCTGACTCCGGGCTCCGAAAAGTCCATTTGCCTGGTGTCTGGTGTCTGTTTCACGGAATTAAGCACCAGACACAATCTATTGCAAGGGCTTGAATTGTAAATCACATAGTGCTAGGCATCAGCAGTTTGATTTAATTTGACGATTGATTGATTACATGGCATGTAAGGTACTCGTATATACGAATGATTCCAGCGTGGGCTGGGCGGACTCTTCGTGTTCCCGCCCACGCCCACGCCCACGGCCAATGTTTCTGCGGCCAAGCAAACTCACCTACCAACTCGGGCTAAAAGAATTGAAGCTCGTCATACGGCAGCCCGAGAGGAATTGAAACGGTGCCACCATTTTCCAATAGACGCCTCTAAACACGCAGCTCCCCCTGGCGGACCCCTAAAACAGCTGGAGAGGTGCCAAGTGTTCATGTTAGTGCTACTGATGTAGAATGTGGTAGCCGCCAGAAACGTCAGGCACTAAAGCGGTAACAAGTGGACAGCTCACTCAAACTCCTCCAATTGTGTTGCACCAAGTATTGTGCGAGGCCCAAATACTTGGACTTGGGACTTTGATTGATCTCCGCCTCGTCCGCCGCCTCCAACGCCAAGGCTTCTGCTTCTGCTCTACTTCTGCTCTACTCTACTTCTCCCCTCCTGGTTCTTACTTTGTCACCCCATTCCTGCGTCCGCCAGTTGTATTGCGCGCTGCTGTCCCGTACATACGAGTACAACGATCGAGCTGGCTTCTTCTTCCGTCTCCAATCCCCCGCTTCGAGAGCCATGCGAGACCGGCTGAATCCTGCTTCGCCTTCCGCCCTCATCTAGATGAGGCACCGCCATCGCAACCGCCAATTCGATCCTTCTCATCCCTCAGCGTCTGCCTGCTGCCGAGCGCGACCCAATGTCGTGGGACTTGCTGCAGCGATTCCTCGAATCCGACGTCTTCAATGCGAATCCCTTCCTCTCCGTCTCCTACCTGTCGTGAGTCGCCGTCTTTCTTTGTCCTGGAGCTTTTGCATAGCTCCGGCAGCTCGGCAGTAGCAAAAGCTTTTGTGTGTATAGGCTGACCCGTACCCTTTGCTGCCTCGTAGCCGCTATGCCGACCATGTAGGCATTCACTATGTCTTGTGCAACAAGCTGCGACAGTTCCCCTACGAGGACATCGAGTTCTTCCTGCCGCAGCTATGCCACCTCATCATAAGCGTCGACAACGAGTCAATGGCTCTAGAGGAGTTCCTGTTGGATCTATGCGAGGAGTCTGTGACCGCCGCATTGTTGGTACGTATTCCGAAAAAGGCCAAATAGGTCGCCGAGTGCGACGTGAGAAGGAAACGGCACAAGGCTTGTTCGCGCCCACCGGAATGCTGACCTGGTTGCTTGCTACAGACGTTTTGGCTCTTCCAGACATATCTGCATGATCTGTCGTCGAACCCGCAGTCTAATGCCTTTCAGACATGTCGTCGAGTCTACAACAAGGTGCAGCACATCGTGTTTGGACTTGCAGACACTGCGCGGCACCACAAGATCAAGGAAAACGTCCTGCCCGTCACGGTGCTCTCCAGCTTCGTCCTTGCGAGCGTGGCCCTGCCAATGATACCGAGATGGGCCGGCCCCCTTGCTGTCGCGCAGGCCCGAAAGCCGCAGCCCATTACAGAGGATAACTCGGACGGAAGCGAAACCCCAAAGCCCACGGCAAAGGCTTCCTCGACAAAGCCTACGAGGGCAAACACCGTCACCAGTCCGATCTCGAAACCCCGGCGGGCCAAGGAGCCGCTATCCCCGAGCGCATCCGACAACAGCCTGGCGCTGGACAGCCGACCTTCATCACGACGAGTGAATTCCCAAGCACCAGTCTCTCGTTCACCATTGAACCCGGACTCGAAAAGACCGTCTGCCCTGGATATGAAATCCCTGGAAGCGAGGCTCAGCACCGCCTCTCTGCCTCTACCGTCCCCAAGAGGCTCATCCCGGCCAGCAACTCCCGTTTCTGCGGGGGTAAACTCAAGGCCTACAGATGGCATCCATAGAAGGCATTCTCACCACTTCAAATCGGCTTTGGGCGCTACAAACTTGTCACCGGCCCAGAAATCACAGCTCCTGAGGCAACATTACTTCAGATCACAAACCCAGTTCTTGTCCGCCCTTGAAGGCATCTCCAACCGACTGGTCGCCGTGCCGAAACCTGCCCGTATGAGCGCTCTGCGAGCTGAGTTGGCCCTGATTGGAAGAGATTTGCCAGCTGAAATCGATATCCCCATCATTTGCCCGCCAACGCTGATCGACGGGGCGCCGGGCAAGAGTCGCCATCATCGAATTGTACGGCTCAATCCCGCTGAGGCAACGGTCCTGAACAGCGCTGAGAAGGTGCCATATTTACTAATGATCGAGGTGCTGAGAGAGGACTTTAGCTTTGATCCCGAGGTCCCGGATAACCAGCGGCTGTTGACCAGTCTCCTTGGCGGCAGCGGGCCCTCAAAAAGACTGTTCGACCTCTCTTCAGAGATACCCAGAGCCGCTCAGATCGTCCCGCCTCCCGAGCCAATTATAGACAGCGTGTTCGAACCAACTTCTGGTGATTTGGGGAGCTCGCCGCTCCTCAAGGCTTTCGATGACGAGCCTTCCTCCATCGGCTACCACTCAAAGCACTCCAACGACCAGCGATTCTCCAGCGGGGCAACAACCGCGTCTACAACACTGGATGCCATTACGCCACGGACGTCAGGGCCGTATTCGTCCAGATCTCCTAGTCCTGGCTCTCGGCGGCGGATGACGCTCAACATGGCTCGCGCCGACCAGCCAGATTTCTCGGCATTGGCTACTCACATGAGGACAGCGTCGCAGATGCTGGCTCAGCTTGAGGCCACGAGCGGCAAACGACCAAAGCACGAAGTGGCCGCGATTAGAGCCAAGATCATTGCGAGCATGCAGAGTCTCGAGGAGCAGAGCTTTGACGCCGATGAGCACGGCCCTACGTTTGACACCATCATGGCCAAGGCCAGCACGGCCAGCGCCATCCAGGCCATAGACCCGGATCTGGACGAAGAAGAGGCGGCACCAATTGACCCCAATATCAACGCTAGTGCGGGCAGGGAAAGGATGGAGAACGACATCAAGACGGGAGGTGTCCAGCGCCGTGGTGATCGCGACGACCCTAGTGCGGCTGTCTTTGGAGAAGCCTGGGAGGCCAAGAAGGAGCGAATTCGCAAGTCGTCGCCCTACGGATGGATGAAGAACTGGGATCTCGTGAGCGTCATTGTAAAGACGGGTGCCGATTTGCGGCAAGAGGCTTTCGCGTGTCAGCTCATCGATGTCTGCCACAAGATTTGGAAGGATGCAAAAGTGGACGTCTGGGTCAAGTTGATGCGCATTCTCGTCACCGGAGAGTCGTCTGGCCTCATCGAAACCATCGCCAACGGCGTGTCGCTGCACTCGCTCAAGCGAAGTCTGACGCTCGCATCCATTGAGGCTGGGAATAACCCCCGGCATCGAATTGCCACGCTAAAGGACCACTTCATCAAGGCTTTTGGCCAGCCCGACAGCAAGCCCTACAAGGCTGGACTCGAGGCGTTCAAGCGCTCATTGGCGGCGTACAGCATCATCTCCTACATCCTCCAGCTTAAAGACCGGCATAACGGCAACGTGCTCATTGACAGCGAGGGCCACATTATTCACATCGACTTTGGATTCATGCTTTCCAACTCGCCCGGATCGGTTGGGTTTGAGGCCGCGCCTTTCAAGCTTACACACGAATACGTAGAGGTCCTTGGCGGAGTGGGGTCGCAAGACTATGAAGATTATAAAAAGTTGTGCAAACAAGCTTTTCAGGGTATGTTTGATTTTCCATTTTGGAAACCCAAAAGAAGATGTTGGTTCTAACAAAAGCTCTCTTTTTAGCCCTCCGACGGTCAGCGGACTACATCATCGACCTGGTGGCCATGATGGGCCGGGACTCGAAAATGCCCTGCTTCGCCGTCGGCGTCGCGCACGCCACGACGACGCTCCGCCAGCGCTTCCAGCTTCATCTCAGTGCCGATGAGGCGGAGAACTTTGTCGAGACGGACTTGATTGCCAAGTCGTACGGCAGTTATTACACGCGACTGTGAGTTATATAGACCCACCCCCCTTTTTTTTATTCTGGCTGGGGAAGAAACGGAAAGACTAATGTGCTCAAATTTAGGTATGATACTTTCCAATATCGCACTCAGGGTATATACTAGGCGAATCATAGCCTTCTCAGGGAGGGTAAAGCCAATAAGGAGGGGGAATGTAAGTGTGTGGGATCGCTGTCACATTCGAGTTGAAAAGAGGGGGGGGGGATATGTTGGTCCATAACTGAAAAGGGATGGACATGCAAAAAGAAGAAAAAAACTTGGAATATACTTGAGCTACATTTTGAGCACTTCTAGCTATACATATAGCATATATGCGACCGGCGTTGCTTTTTGGAGAGAGGGGGGCGAAAATACAAAGCCTAGAAGGAGAGAGAAATGTTACCTACCTTATTTAACCATGAACAAATATTGATCCAATACTTGTATAGTTATTCTGTCTGTCTTCACGATATGCCTGAAACAGTATTGAGTCAAATAAATGCAAGATTGTTTTTTTTGGGCTATTTCATATGCCATATATGTATGTATTTACACGCATGCTAGCCTTTGGGCTCCCAATTGTATCTGGAGTCGGACATGTGCCCCATCGTCATTCAAGTTCCAGCCAAGTTGAGTGCGTCTCTCTCTCGTAACCTCCTTGGCGGCCGTTCAGATACTTTTCTTCATCGATACTTATGCAAAGTCCATGCCATTCCACTAGCGAGAACTCTCACTGCTTCTCGGGCCAGGTGTGGCGGGCATGTTAACGCCGTGCCATCCAGAACTTATCATCGTTTCCCAGGCCAACTTCCACCACGTTTCGGTTCCGCCCGGAACGGTTTCTAACCCCAGCGTCCTCCCTCCCTCTCAGCCTCCAGCCTCCGCATCCGCTCCTCGCCGTCGCCGTCGACAACGTCATTACGCCGGCTGCGTCGCCCCTTGCGCCCCCCGTCATCGGCATCGTCTCGGCCACGTTTCGAGCCCGCCAGTCCCGCGAGCCCGGCCATGCGCTGGGCTTCTTTCAGCAGACGCTCGCGATTCCGCGCTTCTCTTTCCAGAGTATGCGCATCTTTCTGCGGGGCGGAGCCGGCCCCGGTACCTCGAGGGCCCCCCTTGATGTCAAAGCCACGCGGCCCCGTGGGCGGGTCAAAGCCCTTGTCGCCGCTTGGAGTGGCAGTGCCATCGACCGAGTGCTTCCTACTGCCACTTCCGTGTCGGCTGCCGTAGTCTCGGTCTCGGTCTCGGTCTCGGTCCTTGTCCCGATCACGATCTCGCTCTCGTTCTCGTTCTCGATCCCGATCTCGGTATCGGTCCTTGCGGTCCTTGTCCTTGCGGCCACTGCTGCTATCCTTGTCGCGCTCTCTCTCCTTGTCGTGACGTCTGGAGGCGTGCTCGTAGTCTCCCCGGTCCCGGTGAGATGAGCGGTGATTCAATCTTTGGCGATCATCCTCTTCTTCTCTGTACTTGTCCTTGCGCCGTTCATAGTCTCGGTCCTTGTCTTTATCTTTGCGGCTGCGGTGGCTGGAACGTTTGGCATCATCGGGAGAGGCCGATCTGGACCGCTCAACTGCCTTGTCCTCCTTTGGCCGTTGAGAAGACTGCTCGTCGTCCTCGTCGTAGTAATGTCTTCTACTGCTCCGGTGTTTCCTCCGGCGGTAAGAGTCATCCTTGTCTCCCTCTCCTACAGACTCGGATGGCTGACGCCGTTGTCGCCTGTGGGAGCCCCTATGTCCACGGCTGCGACTTGGGCTGCGGCTGCTGCGGTCTAGGCTTCGGCTTCTACTACTAATTCTCGAGCCGGAGCGCTCTGGCTCTCTGCCTCGGTCGCGATCTACTCGGTCTCGCTCCCGGTCTCTCTCCTGAGCGCTATTAGGGTCCTCGGTTGCCCCCGCTCTGTCACGTTTATCGTGATCTTTGGGCCGCTCCTTGCTGCGATCACGGTTGGGATCACGGTCTCGCACTTTGTCAAGGTTAGGGGTACTACTTCTAGAGCCCGGTTGAGTAGTTGGGTTCGACGGCGGTGCTTGCGGCGGCTGTGATATGACGGCAGCGGGTTTTTGCACAGGCAGGCCGCTATCTTCCACCTGGAAACCCCTGGCTCGCAGATTCAGCAGGCTAGTATTGGGCAATCCTTGACGCATGGCCTTAGGGCCCTTGGGAGCATTAATAGGTGCATCCGACGCCGTCAAAACGGAGCGGATGGCCGCCACGCCATTTCGGTTCTGCATACTAAATCCGTCTGGTTGGGCTGTCGACGAGCGCATGGCGCCTGCGGGAAAAGCTTCATTGCCTAGGGTCTCACGAGATGCAGATTCGGAGGGATCTTGTTTGGACCCGTCAGTACCTTGGGCATCGATAGCCTTGGCCTGGCTCGCGCCTTCGTTGGCGCTCTCGTCAGCCTGAGCACTTGCCGCCGTCGACGTCAGTTGCTGGCCAGCGTCACCTTGGCCTTGGAAGGCTGCTGCCCCTTGTCCTTGGTTGTACTGGGGATGTTGGCCCTGGTCATGATAGTTCATGGCGCCGCCTTGTTGATGGTAGCCTCCCCGGCCATACCCCCCGTAGAATCCGCGGCCGCGCCCACGGCCACGACCGTAGTTGTTGCGACGATAGTCATTGAAGTGGCCATAATTACCTTGATTGTATCCTGTCTGGAATCCTGAGTTAAAATTCCCAAAGTCACCAGTTCCCATGCCTGGGCCATTTTGATTGTAATTATTTTGGTCGAAATTCCATGACTGTGCACCGTTCCAGTTATCATTGGAGCCTTGTCCAAATCCTCCTCCAAAGCCCCCCATGCCGTTCATGCCCTGAAAGCCTCCGTTCATGTACATGTTCTGCATCGGGTCCATGCCCATTCCCGGCATGCCTATAGTGCGGTTAGTAACTTGGAACAGTGCTTCAAATGGGGAAAGCCAGGACGGTGAGGAGCCTTACCCATCATAGGAAACCCACCAAACGAATTGGGCCCCATTCCATTTTGCATGGCCATCATCATTTGCATTTGGTTGAAATCTCCACCAGGAAACATCATGTTCTGTTGAAATCCACCATTCGCCGCATCAGATGCGCCATATTGCTCTTGGTCGTTGCCGGTTTGGTCGGCACCATCGTCACCCTCGGGAACCGCGTTTTGCTCCTGACTATTGGCTGTGCCATCGCCTTCATCTGCGAGGCCCTCGGCTTCCTGAGCTTCGGTAGTAGCAGTCGGTTGCCCCTCCGAGGGCTCTTCCGTGCTGTTCAGTGCCGCCTCCTGCTACAGGCGATGCGGTAGATTAGCATATTGATCACGGGTTTGGTTGGCTGATCAACGGTGAAGCTCATACCTGTTTCTCCTCTTCGTGGCCAGTGGCTAGCTCATCAGCCTGCTGCGGCGCCGTATCTTGTACAGGCGCTTCTCCACCAGCATCCACCGTCTTCTCGGCCGGCCCTTCTACAGAGGCAGGGGCTCCCTCGTCGGGTAGCAATGGTTTCGGTGCGTCGACCGGTGTCGGAGGCGCGGAGTCATTGGATTCTTTTGGCCGAGATGCCTCTCGCTTCTTCTCCGCCGTGCGCAGGAACACTCTGATGGTAGTGCGCAGAGACTTGTTAGGGTTACAATCCGTAGCGGACAACGGGGAATGCTCGCAAACGGGGCACGACTGGGGGAGGTTCGAGTGGCCTATCCACGATTAGAGCCGGTCCGAAAGAGTCTTGGTCAACAACAGAGTTGGACCAAACGAACGTACATGTTTCGCAGATGGCCTGTTCACAACAAGGCAGCCGTAGGGCGTTGACAGCCAGCTTGCTGCAGTTGGCGCATCGTAGTTTGTGTGGGATATCGTCGGGAGCCAACGAGCTGCGTGCCCAGTCAGTCAGTGTCTTGCATTGCATTGCACAGCGGAAACTCAGCCAGGAGGGGGTGAAAGAAGAAGAAACAGTCAAACGCACTTGATCAGCTCAGCCTGAGCCTCGGAAATGGACATGGCCATTGTCGCCAGCACCAGGTCTATCTGCGCTTGACGACCATGAGGTTTCTAGGGAAAAAGCCCAAGCGATCCCAGGATTGCAGGTCCAACAAGGCCCCGGAAGAAGCAGAGCAGGGCCACGTCACGGCGTGACCTCAATAAGCCGCGGCACCACAAATCATTCAGCACCGGGCCACAGTCGCAAGTCAACAATCGGTCAACCCCTATGAACAAAGTCTGGTGCAAGATTTGAGATTTGTGAGGAGTTTGACGCGCTTCGAAAAAAAGAAGTGGATCTGACAGCGGACGGCGAGTTACGACAAGCAGCCGCTAGCAGCGATCAGGGCGTCACGTGCCGGCCTGCTTCTCTGAGCCGGGCTGGGTGGCATCTGGGCAAAGGTTACACTGTAATAGCAGCCTCGGATTGCAGTCTGATTTGAGTGATAACGCAATTGCAGATGCCTATTCTGCTGACTCGCTTTTTTTACACAGCTTTGGTTTTGAGGCGAATAGGTGGCCAATTAAGACGACCAAAATAGCCAATCACGGCCTGGCCCGGAGCCTCGGCGAATCAGTGGACGGCAAATATCAGCAGCAAGATTTCAATATATATCACCAGTATTTCAAAAGGCATTGGCATGATATGGAGAGGTCAACAAGGTAGCATCGGCCAAAGACGGGGAAGAACGGGGGGGTGCATTTGTGCCTCAGAGGGATTGCCTGATAATCTAATAGCTGGACATCAATCACTTACAGTTCCCGGCCCTAATGCAATGCTACAGAAACACTGGGCTCCCAGCTTGGTTGGCCACCCCAAAAGTCAGACGTTGGCGAGGTACTATTGTAGCAGAAACTGGGCGTCTAAATAATATGGAAAAGATATGGCGCACAAAACTATAACACGCGAATGACTCCTGGAACGCAAGACTCTGACTCCCGAATGACATGCCATAACAAATCCGACCTCATCTGACGGGTAGCGCAGCAACGGTAGCAACAGCAACCGACAACATGGTGCTTGTACCTTGTCCTTGTATAACAAATCAAACGTCTCTCATCTAACAGGCACATCCATCCTTTGCTCCGGCATCCCTTGGTCCTGATAGGTTCACCCTCTGCTCGTCTCCGGCCCGGTTGGCTGCGCCCGCCGCGCCGGCTCCCCTCGCACTCTTGAGAGACGTCTCGGGGATCGCATTTGCAATGGCTGTGAAGACTTCGGTAACGTTGTGGCCCGTCTTTGCACTCGTCTCGAAAAAAAGCAGGCTCTCCTCTTCGGCATACGACTGGGCTTCTTCTGTTGACACCTTGCGGGCATCGCCGTCCTCCCCACCCGAGGCTTCCTCGCTCGCACCATTCGATTCGCCAGCCAAATCTAGCTTGTTTCCTACCAAGGCGATGACGATGCCCGGCGAGGCTTGTCGTTGGAGCTCGGCGACCCAGTGTCTGGCCTTGACGAGGGATGTGGGCTTGGTGATGTCGTAGACGACAAGGGCGGCCTGGGCGTTTCGGTAGTACATGGGCGCCAGAGAGGCAAATCGCTCTTGGCCAGCGGTATCCCAAATCTCAAACTTGATGGTTCGGGTGGGCAGGTTGCATTTTTGCGTCAGGAACGCCGCTGCGAGGCACCGTTTAGCTGATGACGAGAGCGGGAGGGCTGGCGGGAGGGCCGGGGGAGGCATGGCTTACCACCAATAGTCGGCTCCTTGTTCTCTTGGAAGTCGTTGTTGACGAATCGCAAGACGAGGGACGACTGCGAGCACAAGTCAATAATGCATTCTGTCTACCACGGGGCAATCGAAATCGACGGGCGAGGATTGGCGACCTTTCCGACTGCGGCTTCACCGAGGAGCACCAGCTTGACGCTGCTGCTGGGTTTGGGAGCTTCCGCCATCTTTTACCGGCTCGTTTCGGCGGCGTCTGCTTGCGACTCTGGAAATGCAGCAAAAGCGACTCCTCTTGGAGGGGCAGAAGAGTGCAGATTTGCCTGGCGATGCGCGTGGGCTGGCGGATTATTGCTTATTGCTGCCTCTCAACTGCGGGCGAGCTCTTTAGTATGTACAGACTATCGTACAGCCAGTATGCGCGAGGATGGCGCTGCTTCTATTCTAGCAAGCAAATTCCAGTGGGTACCAAAGTTCGTACCGGTTGCATGGCAAAGAGGCGCAACGATGACGAGGTCCCTGCGAACCAGCCTGTGCACCAGCCACATTGTCGGGTACGAAGGGCGAGCTGCCTGGAGGGTAGAGAGTACTCTCGGTAGCACCACAGCTCTCATGCCATACTGAGTACTCTCTACCCAGTGCGACAGCCGCTTTGGAGTACCGAGCTTTCCTACCTGTCGCTTTCGGCGGGGCAGCCTCGGCCAAAAGTTACGCCTATGCCCGGCCACTCCCCGCCAAACTTTTGGGTGATCTGCCGGCAGAAAAAAAAAAAAGTTTGGTATAGGACTAGTTTCTGCTGCAGGCGCGAATCCTGTTGAAGATTCAAGCAGTTTTTGATTTGCATAATCACCTTGTCGCCAGCATCGACAACTCTGGGCGAACTCTCAATCCAACGGAAAGCTGGGAATAGAGACAGTCGTCAAAATGGCCGGGCCACACACGGCGGCATCAAAGGACATGCCGTCCAATCCAAACAAACGAAAGCTCCTCGACGACAGCGACTCAGAATCAGATGATGGAGCAGCAATTGGAAGCTCAAGCTTCAAGGTGAACGAGGAATACGCACGCCGCTTCGAGCATAACAAGAAACGAGAGGAGAAGCAAAGATGTATGTCTCAATCAGACTTCCCCCATCCAATACAAATGTTCTCTCCCCTCTAACATGCACAAGTGGAAGAAAAGCTCAAGAGGGAGGGGGAGAATGACGATTCCTCTTCTACCGATGAGACAGAAGACGAAGATGGCTTCCTTGCAACCGAAGACCTGGACGCTCAAATCTCCGCCACGCTACAGGCAATTCGAAACAAAGATCCCCGTGTCTACGACAAGGATATTACTTTCTATGAACCCGAAGACGAGAGCGCCGAAGCAACGACCAAGGAGAAGAAGGAAAAGCCAGTTTTCCTTCGCGATTATCAGCGAGAGAAACTCTTGAGAGGCGACGTTGGTGGTTCGGATGACGAAGACGAGGCGCCAAAGACATACCAGCAAGAGCAGGACGCAATTAAAAAGTCCCTTCTGTCCGAGATCAACGCCGCCAAGGGCGAAGACTCAGATGAGGAGGACGAAGATGAGGACGGCTTCATTAAGCGGAAAGAACAACCAGTACAAACAGATTCAAACGGTCTGCACCCCTCCAGGGCAAAGGCCGTGAAGCTCTCCGAAGTCGATGTGAACAATGCAGACAGAGATCCAGAAACCTTCCTATCAAATTTCATGGCCGCGAGAGCTTGGGTGGCTGATGAAGGCTCAAGATGGGAGGCGTTTGAGTCTGACGATGGAGAAGAAGACAACCGGGCGGAAGAGTTCGAGCAGGCCTACAATCTGCGATTCGAAGATCCGGAAAAGAGCAACGAGGTTCTAAAATCATATGCCAGAGATTTTGCGGCTGCGCGATCCGTCAGACGAGAGGAAAAGACGGGCAGGAAGCGCCAGAGAGAGCTTGAGCGCGAGAAGAAGGAGGCAGAGAAGGAGCAGCTCCGTGAAGACAAGGCCCGGCTACGAAAACTGAAGCTTGAGGAAACCGAGGGCAAGCTTCGCAAGATTAAGCAGGCGGCCGGAGCGTTTGGCAAGGAGTTGACGGATGAGCAGTGGATGAAGTTCCTGGATGACGCTTGGGAGAATGACAAGTGGGAGGGTGAGATGAAGAAGTGGTTCGACGACGGTTACTACGCCATCAACGAAGCCAATGTCGCTTCAGATGACGACGACGAGATTGACATTGACGAAGAAGATGGCAGCAAGAAGAGCAAGAAGAAGAAGCCCAAGAAGCCCAAGTGGGACGACGACATCGACATCAACGACATTATCCCCGATTTCGAGGCCGGCGACGAAAAGCCAACCATTGTTCTATCAGACGACGAAGCGCAAGATGACGCTGATGACGACGAAGACGAACCATCCGCCAAAAAGCTCAAATCGTCAGATCACAAAAAGGCCCGCCAGGAATCTCAGAAGAAATCCCGCCAGGAACGCACAAAACTCGAGGCTCTCGTCGACGCCAAGATGCACCTCACGGACCACGACGTGCTCAAGGGCGAAGGCTCCGGCGGCTTCCGGTACCGCGAGACGTCGCCACAGGCCTTTGGCCTGACGGCGCGCGACATCTTGCTCGCGCCGTCGGACAAGGTGCTCAACGAGTTCGCCGGGCTGAAGAAGCTCGCCACGTTTCGCGACGTGGAGAAGAAGCGCCGGGACAGGAAGCACCTGGGCAAGAAGGCTCGGCTGCGCCAGTGGCGGAGGGACGTCTTTGGCGGCGAGTTTGAGCACACGGGGCCGACGTATGGGTTCGAGCGGGTGGCTGGCAAGGAGGGCGGCGGAGAGGAGGAGGAGGACCCGAAGGAGAGGAGAAGGCGGGAGAAGAAGAGCAAGACAAAGGACGCGGGGGGCGAGGGGGCGAGCAACATTATTGGCGATGTTGATGGGACGCGGAAGAAGAGGAAGCGGTCAAAGGGGAAGAAGGCCGCCAGCGAGAGCTGATGAGCCTCCTGTTTCTTCTGTTCTTGATTATTATTATTTTACGCTATGGGTGTGTATCTGCGGCATGTGTACATTTTGTGAAGAAAAAGATGAGACATTATACTATGGCTTTAGTTTTATAATAGTGTCATATATAGATGGGATCTAGATTTCCGCTTCTTGTTTATGGCATCCCCATATCAATCACCAGCTCCCTCTGCATCGACGCACATCATCATTTACATCAAACAAACATACACGCACGACTCGAAAAGTCCCAAGAATAAAAAAATAAAAAAAGAATAATCATATCCTGTAAGAATAAACGTTAGGCATTTACATTGAATACACTTCAGGCCAAAAAAAAAAAATCACGCCCCAACTCCGTTCCTCCTCCCCCCAATAATCTCTCTCCCTCACTCTCTCTCCCATCATCTCGCACAACATTTCATCTCTCCCCCTCCCCAAAACGGTTTTTGATTCTCCTCAAACTCCGCCGCTTAGCAAACGAGCAAGCAAAGGGAATTTCCAGCAGGAACATTACAAGAAAAGAAAAGAAAAGAAAAAGAAAAAACGACCCCATCGATCTTTCATCTATCGGTAATTCTCGAAAAAAAAAATCAAGAAAAAAAAAAGGTAAGCTCAAACAAAACACGTACACTCTTCTCTGAATCAATTCAGCTAGGAAAGAAAATAATAAAAACAAAAAGGTCATGGGGCGAAGAGGAGTATCCATCCCAGAAAACGAAAAAAGGACGCAAAGTGCAGAATAATGCAAGATGCAAAGTCAATGCAGCATATCATCAAAAGTAGTTGTATCAACCAAACAGGTTCCAGGCCTTTCTTCTTTGCTCTTCTAAGGTGCTGATGCTTAGCTCGGGGGGTGGATGAAAACTGTCATATCTGTCGCAAATGTATACCCAGGGAAGAAAACAAAGAGCAGTCATGAACCGATGTCAAATGTGGCGAGTCTTCTTTATCCCAAGGAATTATGCCTTATTAACGCAGAAAGGGGTAAGAAGGGGGGGTAGTGGCGAGTAAGAGTAATCGAGGGGACAAAGCACGAAGCCCATGGCCCTCGTCGGTTCAAAATGCAAATATGTGCGCCCGGAAGGCTTCGTAGTCGTAACAAGGTCAACTGCGCCTCCTATGTAACAAAGTTCGTTTCGAAAATATCCAACGCTAGAAGGAATTTAGGTGTTGATGATGGGGGTGGAGAGAGAAGAAGGAGAAGAAGGAGAAGAAAGGAGGCTGTGGCGTCAGTCAATCTCCTAAATTCGGCTGTGGCTGGCGCTGGTCCGACTTCTCTCATCCTCTTCCTCCATCACGTCGCTCAGTCGAGTAGGGTGATGATGCCGAGGCACCGCCTCCCATCCAGCATTCCCATAGCCCTGGCCGGAATAATCCTGAGGGTTCGAGTAGGCACCGGTCCATTGGCTTTGCGGGGCGGATGTTGACGAGGGCATGTTGGCACCGCTAGGGTTTGTCGTGGCCGGGGTGTCGTAGTCTTCTGGATCCAAATCAGAACCTGTGTACGTTGAGGGCGGCGCGGCGAAGGGAATTCTAAGTCCGTCCCCGTCTAGGATGAAGTTTCCCTGCGCATCGATAAGGTACTCACCTTCGCTGTAACCGCCCTCGGAGCCAGCGCCTGCACGACGGCTCGGTTCTTCCTGGTGGCCAGATTGGTATTGTCCTTGTCCGGAGCTGCTGCTTCCCGCGGTGGTCTGTCCTCGGCCCTGGGCAGGCTGCTCGATGGAATAAGTCGGACGTTGATAATCAGACTGGTAGCTTCCCTGCTCCCTGGTGCTGCTGTGTCGACTGGGGCCGCCGCCCTGGGTCATTGGCACAACCTGAACTCCGCCCACGACCGTGGGGTGCCCCGACTGGAGAGACAGGGTCCTATCACGCTCCTCTTGTTCACGACGCCCGAGTTCCTCCCAGGCCCGGCGGGCTTCTTCCTTTGAGATGGCAAGCTCCTTTCTCATCTCCACCAGCTGCTTCTGCGTTTTGGACACTCCGCGCTCGTGCTCGACAGCATCGCGGATTGCTTGCTCACGATCCCTCCTCTCCTTTTCGAGAGCCGCCTCCAGCATGGCATTCACCTCGTGGGCGCGCTCCAATTCCGATCTCGTTTCAAAGAACCACCTTTGAAATTTCCTCTCGGAGCTGGCTCGCAGGCGTTGAAGCTCCACCACGGCGTGGAACAGGTTGGCGCCAGCCGCCGACAGATCCGTAACCTGTCGCGCCAGCTGCTGGCTCATGGGATCGCGATTGATGTCGTCCTTGTTTTGCTCAAGCTTGCGGATCCAGTAGCTCGTCAGTCCCTCCCAATGAGCAGACAACGTTTCCCATCGCTCAAAGGCATGGGGAAACGAGTTGCGTGGCTTCGTGGGATCGTCGCCGGCAAGTGTCCCAGGTGCATGCTGCTGCGATGAGGAGCTCCCCGCTGGGAAAGCCTGGGGAGGGGAATGGTGCTGCTGGTTGCCAGCCATCTGAGCCGGACGCTGCTGTGGCGGTAGGGTCTGGTTGGGCGCGACATTCGCTCGCGGAGCCTGTGACTGGTCCATATGTGAAGGGTTAGTAGATTGCTGAGCCTCGGCAGTCATGCCTTGGCCAGCAGCAACGCCAGCAGCGCGCCGCTCTGCATTGCGACGCTCCGTCTCCTGCTGCACTCGCGCCTCTTGTTCAGCACGGCTCTTCTCCAATGCTTGCTGCTCAACTTCGGCTCTCTGCCGTGCTTCGGCCCTCTGACGCGCTTCTCTCGCTGCTCGCTCCTGCATGATCGCCCTAGGACCTTTAATGCCAGATGGCGAGCTCGTCGGCGCGGGAGCAGCGGCGGGCATGCGACCAGGGCCAAGGGCAGCGCCATTGGACGTGGCAGGAAGGCCACCAGTCATGAGGTCAGACATGCTGGCAGTCTCTTCGATCTCGTCGGCTGTGAAGGGGCGAGGTTGACGGAGAGCCTCCTCTAAAGCGTAAAGGATTGCGTTGTGAGTATGCTTGGAGATACGAGGGACTCTAAGCTGAGGCCTTGCCGGTGGGTTCTGGATGCCCGCAGAGCTAGAGCGTTGGTGACGCGGCTCCTGGGTCTGGGGTCGCTGGCGCTGATCCTCGTTGGGCTCGTCAAACAGCGACAACCCAAGCCCAGTTATGGACGATTCGGAGTCGTGAGAAAGCGATACAATGCTCGGGTAGAAGCCCGCCGAGGCAGCGGCGATGTGAACCCGACGCTCCGGCTGGTGATTGGGTGCAGAGTCGAATTTCGGCGTGCGGCGAAGAGATTTGCGCTGCGAAGACGGGGTGGAGAGCCTGCTGAGAGGCTCCTGTGCAGGCTGCGGCAGAGGCTGTTGCTGCTGGCGTTGCGTTGGTGAAGGCGTGTTCTCGTGGGTCGCGTAACGGTCGTTAGAAACGGGGGGAGGTCGTTGGGACAAGTCTGCGGCGCCTCCTAGCGTCGGGGGGAGGAAAGACAAGTTGAGCGAGGTTGATCACCGCCAGGCTAACCGGCGGTGATGTTTAGGAGGAGAGGGAGAAGTCCGGAAGGGCGCGCGGTTGTCGATGGGATGCCACTACAGGGTTGAGTTTCGGAGAGGAACTGGGCGCCGTAGAGTAGCCGACGAGCCAAAGAGCCCTAGAAGCGAGCGTCTTCAGCAAGAGCAATGAACAAATTAATAATAATAATAATAATAATTGTTGCTATCCAGACTCTAACCAGCAATGAGGTGATTTGCGCCAAAAGAAGCCGAGGGGGGAGTGTTGATAAGCGCAGACGCCAGGATTTTGGAGACAAAGCTGCGTGAGTCAAGGGTAACAAGGCGGACGCGATATGCAAGCAGGTGAATCGTGCAGCGAAAGGCGGCAGAAGACCCAATTGCCCGCAGGAGGTGCTCAGAAGCAGAGCAGAAGCAGAGCAGAGCAGAGGCGCGAAAAGAGCCAGGGCGGTGATGTCAAAAAAAAGCTGGTGGCAGGGGAAAACCGGCTGGAAAATGGAAAATGGGGGGCTGGAGTGCGCAAGCGCGGCCAACTGAAGCTGGGATTCGGTAGCGTTTATAGTGGCCGGTCCCAGTGCTCGTCAGCGCCAGAACAGAACAGGGGGGAACAAAGAGATTGAATTGATCCAGTCGTCTGATGGATGAATGGACAGTTGATTGATTGAGTGATTGAATGAATGGATGGTTGAATGGATGGATGGAGAAACGAATGGACGGGGTGGGCGAAATTGCAGCGGTTATTAGTATTTCTTTTCTCCTTCAGGCCCGAGATCCAGAACTGGCGGTAAAAGTGCAGATGCACTCTCTCTCTCTCTCCTCGTCTGGCTCTGTTGACCGTTGCGACGGCCCAAGCGCAACCTGGATGGATGCCTCCCGCGCTGGCCTCGGGCTCCTTGGCCCAAGCAAGTTTCGATGCGCCAAAAAGGAAAAACAAAGAAGAAGAAGAAGAAGAACCAAAAGCACGAGAAGGGGGTGGCCGGTGTCGTGTTGGGCGAGGCAGACGAGATGATGCGCTGGTGCTGGTCGACACCTGTTGTTGTTGTGCTGTATATTGCAAGCAACCACTTTCTCTCCTGTCCTCTTTTTTTTTCTCCTCCCCCTTGCTCGTTCCCCACGAGGTCACAGAAACGGCCAGCAAAGCTCAGTTGGTGGAGCTTCAGGCTGCAGGCTGGCGAGCTGGCACATGTTTGAGGCCCAATGCTGACTTTTTGTTTACAGCCGACGCGGCATCTCGTCTCAGGGGAATGCAGCGGATGTGCTGGAAAGGAGGCAGCGGTTTCTGGAGGTAAGATGCGAGTTGGACGTCGACGTTGGACGATGGGATGGGAGGCGGACACGATAAGATCAAGTGCGATTTGGCACAGCCTCGGGCCCAATGGAAAGGCAAGCTCTTTTGCATCACGGCCCCCATCCCATCCCATCCCATCCCATCCTGGCGGACTCTCCTCCGGCGTACCCAACAGGTCGCTCCGTCAGAGCGTGTACGTACATGCGCCCTCCGCGCGGGCGTCATGGCCGCATCGTGTATCGTCCCGCCTGCAACCCGCAGCTGAGGACCTACGTACGTACAGCGCTGGAGGATCAACCAACCTCCACAGGTCCCAGCTAAGCAGAATCTGCTAGCACTAGCACCAGCTGAGGGATCCATGGATGGCTTCGGTGGGCCGGGGAAGGCGATGCGAATCGCCGAGATGGGATCTATTGGGGGGAGAGGGGGGCCAGGGCCATCCCTGACTCGAACGTTCTCGGGCTGGGCTCTTGGGCAACCAACTCTGTCTGCTAACCGTAGCCATTGACTCGGGTCTCTCTCCCTGTGTCCTCGTAGGAGAGGAGAGGTAGTATCAGGTATCGGCGTCCATGTGTCCTATGCATGATGCATGCATTGTACCTTGCTTCATGCAAGTGCGTCGACAATGACAACATGAGGCAGTGAATGAGTGACGAGACGCACATCCCTTTGAGTGCGAAATGGTCCAACCCAAGTACCTGTATCCACCTTGTCTCTATACCGCCTGATTACAATAAAGGATTTTCCTTACCAGCAAACAGGTCGCCTGATCGCCGTGTTGATCATTGACGTTATGTACCTCAAAGTACTAAACTAAATGTTGAGACTTGCCATTGAGGCTAATTTTGGCAGCAGCTGGTGTACTCTCAATTTGTGGCGATTTAATTGGCCACAATCCTTGGAAGATACTTCGGATGGACCATTTCGCACTCAATGGGATATGGGCATTGTTGATGCTCACCGCCCAAGGCAGACTCGAACGTACCAAGATGCAGCAGATGGATGGTTGACGACGGAACAGCACAGCTTGTCATGTCAGTGCCAGCAAGATCTCCCGCTAAACGAGGCTGATCTTGTCAGGCTGGCACCTTAATGGTTAGTCCGCCACGTCGCAAGCGCCACGTCTGTCTGTACCAAATCAGTACCCGTCAACCTGTGCTCGTTACGCCCAGACACGGCGCGAGACAAGTACCTGGCGCGTACCACTCACACAATGCCGCATAATGCAAATCGCTCCCAAGATGCCCAAGAAGTCAGGCTCTTTGAATTCTCAAACGTCATGAATCTTCATCTCGAGGCTGTACAACTCACCGTGAGGCGTTGCGCCTCCCGTATATGCGCGCCTCTCTGCGTGTGTTGCACAGCTTCTGCTTGTGCTTCTGCTTCTTCCACAGCCCAACATGCCGCTCCGTCCGTGGCACGCACATGGCCGTTACGAGCAGGACATTGGGTGTAATCCCGTAATCAATCTGTTTCATTTCTTCTCTCGGCCTCGTCGAATAAAGAGGCCAGTTCATCTTCTCTCCATTCAATTCGCTGCCATTGCGGAAATTGTGCCACGGCTCGTGTATCAAATCCTGTCTAGCAGCGGCGCGGCACGGCACGGACTCGGGACCACCTAAAATAAGTCGATATCCGAAGCTTCACGGCGGCGGGCCAATCGCTGGCAAGCATCGACGTCTTGTCCGGTTGCCCAGCGGTCTTGGTTCGAGGGTCGCCTAGACGACGTCACGTTTTGCCGTAATTAGATGTGTTTATGCAGCATTGCGGGTTTTGGATGTGGATTGTGTCCGTGTTCTGCACAATGTGGTAATGGATGGTGTCATGATACAGTAGCTGGGACCTGCGTTTGTCATGCCATGTTTGCCACCATTGGCCCTACCCACATGGGTGTGAACGTGAAAATGACCAAGTATAACGACAATTGGAGAGAAAAAGAGCCGGGTAGCGTGAGTTCTCCCAAGAACGCGCAATGAGATGCGTGCCATTGTGCAAAATTTATAACATGCTGTCTGCCTGTAGGGTAAGCTCCGCGAGTTGGCCCGAATATGTTTACATGGAGGGCTTCGCACGAGGATACCTACATGGAATGCCCAGACAAGAGGACTCATAGGACCAGTCAAAAGATTTGAAAGAGCTTGTCGCAATTATTCACTTTTATTTCGATCCGCAGTTGCTATTGCCATGTCTCTGGTGGTTACGTCTCACACTAGTATATCACGAGTACGCCGAGGCTATATACTGCAGCGTATTCTGTGTTGATGTGTTGGATGGGTGTCAACACAACTCTCACACACGATCCAAGAAAAGATGTGTTCCAAAGCTACATCTTTAGAGTTGTGACAAGGCATGTTTGGCACCGTTTATTATTACACCGCGTCAACATTTCTCCCATACGAGGCATCATCGCTCCGTATTGTCGTACTATGTATTACAGAGTGCACAGCCCTCGAGATTCCCTTTATCAGTGTAATTCCTGCCATGTGTTCAGCAGCTGAAATCTCAATCTCAACCGCGATAGCCTTTACCAGCCATCGTACATCGCGTCCGAAGAAACCCGTACGCGAATGCGCGGCTTCTTCTACGAATACATACGTGCTCTTTTGTGTCTCCCCAGGAATTATGAAGCTCTCTCCAGCATGGAGCGTAGCCATGGAGACGAGCTTTTGCATTCTTCAGAGCCAACCTTTTACACGGCATGCACCATGTTCTTGCGCCACGTGTAGATGGCCCGATTGTCTGTATCACCAACACACCAGACTAGATACTGGAACCTTGTGTTGCCCAATAGAGTGAGAGGGGACTGAACCAATTGGTAAGGAACACACAAGTATGAGGTCTCTTGCTGCAATTTGACGGCAATTGCAAGCGAGAGACTCTTGAATACAACACAGGACATGTACATGGCTTTCGTTGGATCTATAGAGACTGATAGACTCCGCCCATATCCAGCTTTTCTAAAACTGGATTCATTAGGACATGAGAGAAGAAGAAGAAGAAAAGGAAGTATCCATGTAATTCATCATTCAGAGGCAGCCTACACTAGCAACTAGAAACACATCTTGAGCGTACGCAAAAAGCCAGCCCCGGGGTTGGATGCCTCCATTTCTCGCGGAAGCAATCCGGGCCCTGATCCAGATCTCACACAAGTCTCTACATGCGCATGTCTCAGTTTGGTCTCTCAAGTAACAACCCCCCTACCCTTGTCAAGAGGATCCCGATCGACCGGGGATAACGAACTAAGCTTGGCCCCGATTAGACGGCAGGCTGGGAAAAGGGCGAGAAGCGGTTTAAGAAAATGACAGACAGGGATCTCCCCCTCTCTCATTGGGAGGCAGGGTCCGGTGACTCCAAGACTACTTACACATACGGTAACGGACATGTATAAGCTCGTGAAGTGTTCCAGTTTCCACCGATGATACTCGTAGTATCCCATTACTTGTCGAACTTGGTAGTCGGTTGTCTACCCAGATACTGTACAACTACTTCCTACACATGCAGGGACACTGTTGTACGAGTATATGTGGCCCCTTTCTCTGTACACGTAGCTTTGTTTGCCATGCACACGTACCTACACATCGCCACTAACTCAGGACTGAGACGCGCCCGTGTTCGTTTGCTAGGCGTCGGTTTGCCTGGTCTTTGCACAGTTGAGTTTGCCGGTGAGGACGCGGTAGCGCGACGGCGATGCCGTAGATGGAGATGGTTCTCGTTTTATCGTGGCTGGGAGTTCCGATCTGGAGCTGGTGTCTGACCGCGGACGTGCCGATCTCTCGATGGTCGGAATTCAACGTCCATCTTTTTTTTTCCTTCTCAACGAGGGCACCTTGATGGGTACTAGGAGAGACGAGGGAGCTGCTGTATCTGTTGAATGCTACACACAATTACATTCTGGGTAGTCTGACTAGAATGAGCCCGTCTATACAGTGTATCTACATGCAATTGTTTCCAGATAGAATCGCCATCACCTCACTTCGAGTATATACCAGTATCACCTCACATATCATATTTCGCCGTCATCAACCTTGAAGAAGAAACGCGTTATACACAGACAAACCCAACGCGTTATCCACAAGGACCATCCCACGGTCCATGCTCTCCCTCCGTAACAAACTCCCAAAACTCCCAAACCACCTGCATCTTCTCATGCAGAAAAATATCCATCCCTCATGTTTGCCCACTGCAACGCCTCCGCCCCTTTCGCCAAGCCAGAATGCAAACCCAGTACCCGCAAACCCAGAGGAGCCTTGCAGAGTTACTTGTACATACATGTAGTCTGAAATATTTCTCTCATCCCTAGAAGAAGAGGGCACAAATACGCCCCCCCAGATGGAGCCACAGCACAGGCCCCTCGAGCTCAATGTTTGCCGGGGGGGCAGTTCGAGAGGCAAAGGAATGCTTCCCGTGTCCAAGGGCAGCGCGCGGCTCCTCCGTTCGCCCCAAACCCAGACATTCGCGACGCCACGAACTTTTTTCTCAGAAGAAGAGCAAGAAGAGTAGAGCAAAAGGGGGGTGTGTGAGTGTGTTCGTCGTGGCCCCGCAGAGGAGAATATGTCTCATCCGATCGAGAAGGCGTCTGCTATGCATGTCTTGTTGTTTATCTTCACCTGTGCATTCTGTTTATGTAGCCTTTTTATTGAGTATTCTTCACAGACTATTTGTATATCATGCCTGCCTCCTTGCTCCCCGACCCTCCCTCTCACTGTAAAGTCTCAGTACGCAAGTCTTGGACCACCAGAAAAAAGCATTGACGAAAGAGAAAAGAAGACAGGAGAAAACCCCCATGTCACATCTCAACCCTTTCCCCCCAATCGGAGAGAAACCTTAGACAAGCATTGAAACCACAAACCCCGAAAGAAAAAAGAAAAGAAAAAAGAGTTTGTGTGTCATGGAGCGAACCAGCAAGCTCGCCCAGCTCACCCTCGTATCGAAATATTACCCCGTGGCAAACTACTCGTACCCTCGCAGCGAGGGTTACGCTGCCCGCACCCCCTACAACAGCAGGAGATCGTCGAATGAGGCTGAGGATAAGAGGACGTCGCTTGCCTCGCAGGCACCGACCAGTCCGTTCATGTCGTTGTCGCCGCCGCTGCCCAGCCTGATTGACGACCGCACCGACTCCGAGGCTTCGGCAGACGACGACGATATCCGGTACCACGCCCACGGGGACGAGCTCTGGGACAGCTTCCTGGAATCCGGACTCTACATTCACGACAATCTTCACATTCACGACAACCAAACGAAGAGAGCCGACGCAATGGCTTCTTTTGTTACAGCGCCAGAGTGTGTTGTCCCTCCTGTGGTTCCTCAGAAGGACTATCCCGCCTTGATTGCCTCGCCTCATCAGGTGAGGAGACGGCCTCTAACTCAGGGGCGTCGCTCTCAGGAGTGCTCCTGGCCGCTCTCCGATAGCCCGCCAAGAAGAAGACCATCGCCAATATATTCAGCATTCCCCAAGATTGTGTCAATACCATCTGGCAGATGCTCAAGACAGAGCTCAACCTCTCAACTCTCCACCGTCTGCTCAACGGACGCTCCCCGTGCTCCTCAAGACGCTCCTCCTCTTCCTCCAAGGCCGTCTGGTTCGCATCCCCGTTCAGCAAGCCCTCACCCAAGGGCCTTCTCTCCCGCCACCTTCGTGGTATTCCAACGCCCCAGCAGCTCTCACGGCTCACGGCCAACCACCCCCCTGGACTACTACTACTACCCTCCTCCTCCCTCTCCTCCACCAACCGCACCGCTCCCAGCTCTTCCGCCTCTCTCCTCCCGGCCTCCCCATCCATCCACCCTCACGCCTCGATGCTCCAACCTCAGCCAAGTCGAGCCCTCGCCTCAAACCCTCCGCCCCTATAAATCAACCACACAACTACGCCCCCCGCCTCCCCCAGAGCCGCTCCCCATCTCCGTCTTCGAATACGACACAGACTCAGACTGTGACGACGGCGACAGCGAGAGCAGCTCCTCGGGATCCCCGACTCTGTCCTTCTTCCGCTTCCACAGACGGAGTCAGAGCCCAAACACAACCGAAGGCATCCTCGCCCGCCGTCGCGGCTCCGCTTCCAAAACCTCCGTCCAGCAATCCTTTGTCGACGCCGCCACCGTCGCAAAGGACCGCCGGCGACGCAAGAGGACAAACACCATGGAAAGCTTGGGGAAGCAATCCGATGTGCTAAGTAGGATGCTTGGCCGTCGGAGTCGCTAACAGGGCTGCACCTTTCCGGGGTTTCTTTTTTCTTTCTTTTTTTTCTTTTTATCATCTTGTTTTTTTTTTTTTTTTGCATCTTGGCCCAGGGAGAGGGCCAACTTGAACCACATTCATTTATTTCGCTATTCACACGTTCTTTCTACGAAGCAAGCGGACCATGGCCACTCATTATGATTTGCTTTCAACACATGACTCTATTGCGCGTTGGCTTTTGCATATGGGATTGGAGTTTACTACGGTAGCATGGGAAGGAGTATTAGGTATTAGGGGAGTTAACCAACGGCCAGTAAGGCCTCAATGAAATTTAATTCCACATTATTTTTTTTTCGTTCTTCACGTAAAACTCTGTTGTCAAAACTAGAATACCATGGGTGAAACACTGAGAGCATTCCAAAGTGTACGACGGTTGAGATATCAACACATCCCGGCAACGGCACATCTGTGTTTCCTAGGCAAAGGTTTGGGGTTGAAACATGTTTTCAAACGAAATGAAAAATGGTCAGCCACATCGAAAACTGGTATCATATTGACGTTACATCGTGTGTCGTCTTCCAACTATCTTGAACCACCGTGCATTCCACATTATATACTCATCATTCATATCACCCATCGCCTCTCATATACCCTTCCCTGTACCGAGTACATGTCGTGAATGTCAAACTTTAATATCTCCCAACTCCATCCCGCATGCTGAGACCATGCCATCAATTCCAAAAACGAAAAAGAAAAGAAAAGAAAACGCCATGCTCATTTTGTCTGCACTCTTAACAAGAAGGTAAGGTGAAAAAAAGGGGAAACATCAAAGCAAATCATTAAACCATAGATCTTGAAGATCTTGGCATCTTTTCCGAGAAATCGACCATGCGTCTAATGCTTGCCCGGTTCGCGTCTTTTCCCAGGACGGGGCCGAAGAACCACGAACTCTCATCCCGGGAGTCATCGCGTCCAACACCCAGTCGGTTTTCAAGATCACTCCGCCCTCGAACGGATCGAAACGCGGCGTCTTGTGTGAGCTCTTCAGCAGAGCAGAGACTGATGATTCCAGCGATCGAGGTGACGGGCCGGGGGAGTAGGAATTGGCGTCGGTGGGGCACCATCAAAGCGAATCCGCCCACATATAGGAAGAGGAATGCCAACAAGACGCCAAAGACTGGCATGCTGGGGTACATTCGGACCGTCCTGTCCGGAGCCGTTAAAGCCATCAGGAGCCCGCCCCCCAAAACCGGGATGAAAATAAACAATGCCGCCAGCAGAGATACGCCTGCCACCCTCCAGTGTCCATTTACCAATGCTTTCCATGTCGCCTGCAGGGGAAGACAGGCCGCGTAGTCTGCCAAAAGCGATCTCTGAGCCAGAGAACCATTCACATCGTGTAAGTCAGCCCATGGCTGGAGGATGCGCAGCGACTGATCGACGATTTGAAACTGCAAAAAGAGAATCATGCCAGCAAGGGCCGGCACGAAACTGAAGACAAAATCGGCTGGCGAAAAGGCATTGTGATCAGGTCTCGCACTCAGCATCGGCAGAAAGCCTGATTCTAGCCGAGTCTGCGGCAAGAAGGAAACAACAAGTAGAGCTACCAGCAGAACAAAAGTGACTGCTACGGAAAAGATGAGTGGACCATCCCGAAGATACAGTGGCAGATATCTGCCAAGAGTGTTGTCGATCAAAAGATGGGGTGCCGCCCCTTTCAAGTCGATTGACGCATCGTTGCCAGCCTTCTTGCCCATTGCAGTGGGCGAAACCCCCGAGTCCTGGACAGGCGACGCTCCAATGGTGTACCAAATGCCTCCAGTGGTCGCATCCTCCGCTTTCCAGTACCCCAGTCGATCAAACCATCTCTCGCGCAATTGGCCTTTGAACACTTTGGTGTTCTCAACAAGGTCATCGCGTCTGAAGCTAGCCATGATATTGCTGCGGTTCAACAGGGGCAAAAGATCTCCGATCGATCGAATGTCCCAGGAAAGGCCTGTCCATTGCACGAGCCAATATACCATTAAATTGACTGTTGCCAACAACAGAATACCATACAGACCGACAAGCGCCCATACAACTGGTTGAACAGGAGCCCAAATCCATTTTTCGTGGACAAGAATACAAGTGAAAGCTGCGCTTCCTAAGGGGATGGTGAATATAGCCAGCCACGTTGCAACATCAAAAATCTTGAACTGCCACGGTCCAACGAACTGGGGTAGTAAAAAGGTGGTAGGATATAACCTCTGGAAGTGAGCCATATATCTTGTCCGTGGGTTCTCGCTAGCCATCCCAGTGAAAGGCAGAATTCGTAAAGAGGCTATTACAACGTTTTGGGCGTAAATGAAAATAACAGCACCCAATAGCTGTGGCAATATGCGGAACAAAAAGTACTGGCCGGAGTAGATGCTACCGGGATATGGTGTCAAGCCAGAATGCGCGTATGAGTACCTGGCTGAGAAGATGAGAGCTGCCATCATGAGGAGAATTAGTATAGCCAAGATTGCCATTGAGAATGCCCGTAGAATCCGCGGTTTGAAGTTGAGAGACTGAAGAGTTCTGCCGTGGGGGTCGAGATCTTTCTGCATGTTTTTTGTAACAGGAATCCATCGTGATGTACTTGCTCCAGTGGGATCAAACGAGGCGGTGCTGCGTCGTGGAAGTTGCCCAGGGGTGGGAGGGCCCTTCTGAGGGAGAGGCTCTGGTCGGGGTTTGTCAGTGTCCCTCACTAACCGATCCTGATGAACTGGCGATTTGTATGCTGCGGATTCATCAAATCCGCGTAGCGGCTCATACCGCTCGGAATATCCATCAGACGAACTGGACACGAGATGCGACGGAATAGATGTACTCTGACCGCCTACTAGTGCTTGTAAGGCGTATTGGATGTACGGTGTGTCGTCAATTCCAGGAGTAACTTTGCCCGCCGCCAGAGCCAGTTCATCTTTGATGTTGGGCATGCGGGAAGCGTTATCCGCAGCGAACATTGCTAATTGAGCCTCGTCGAAGCGTACTATTGGATCCTCTTCTGGCTCAATGGCATGGTATCCCGCAGGCTGCACGGGCGGCTTTGCGTACGATTGGTCTGACTTGTGTAACTCGGAAGAGCGTGACTTTATTATTCTCAGGGGAGCTACTTCTACATCATCAGATGCATCGTTGATTTGCGGGTTGGATTGACGCTTAGAACGTCGGCTTGTCGGGGAGGCGCGCCTCGATCGTCCGCTTCGGCGTTTTTGGCGTGTCGAAGGAGGAGAGGCTTCGTCGTCGGGGACGGGTTGATATCGACTGCTATTTGACTGCCGCCAGCCTAGATGGGAGAGGGAATGTTAGCGGGTGCGCTGCAAGTCCATAACGCTGCGCCCACGTACGAGGAGGGTCGGCATGGTCACGATCTGTGTCTTGGTAACTCATTCTTGCTGCGCTCGATGCAGGCAAACTGCACTAAGAGAGAGTTTGGCCAATTGCTTGCGCAGACGCAATGCAAGAGTGAGGAAAAGATGTACGGTGTGGGATGGGTTCTCTAGGCGTATGGCCAGGTTTTAAAAAATGGCTGGGGGATCTCTGACGCAGGAGGGTGTCCCAGCCACCGACAGATGCATGAAGCGCCGTAGCGCACGGGAAGCTGTCTGGATGGGGCCGAATAGGGAGCCTTGCAGACCGAAACAGCACGACATTGGATGACCCGCAACTGACCTTGAAGATACTAAAACAGCACAAGAAATGGATAGCAGCTACCAGGATGGGTTCCGAGCTTTAACAATAGTCCACGATATGCATGATTTTCCGTCAACCTGCTCAACGATGGCGGCCTCTATCTTGCGTCGCACGAGATCGGGCTCGTCGAGTCGGGCTTCGGTAGTGAAGCTCTAGCAAACGGGTGGCGCAGACAGCCGCCGGAGGCCCGCAAAATCGGGTGGCTGGGGGGGCAGGGGTCTGGAAGCTGAAGCTGACTTGGAGGTTTGAAGCGCCAATGAAGGCTATTTTGAAGAGTAGATGAGGATAGGATAGAGTACAGTAGCACTGGATTCTAATGCTTGGATGACGAGCATAAATTTGTGAGACAGAGGAGATTCGCTGATTTAAGCAGGGCAGCACAACTGCATCTGGCGGGGGGGCTCTTGCCAACGCATTCACTTTACTCAGCTGGCGATGAGCTGGCCGCGGCCCATTTTAAAATGGCATCAGGCCAATCATGAGCGAGGTACTTGTAAATGGCTGTCTCATTGGATGCGTGGGGGTTGGATCACGTGATATTTCACAGAGCATTTCGTACTACCTAGGTAGGTACTTTGGTCATTGTTGAACATCGCCTTGGTAACAGTTGCGGCGGAATGGGTTGAATATAGTACCTGATGTTTGAAGATGAAGCCGAAATGAATATGCGTATTCAGCCTCAACAAAGTAAGCAATCAGAAGGTGTCTTGTTCGCCTGTATTTGGACATACCCAAGTGCGTTGAGAATTACTACCTAGGTACTCATTGTAATTCTCAATCGCAAATACTACTAGGTAATCTTCTCTGCTCTACGTAACACCATCACCAAAACTCCCTTTTACAAGTATCCTATAATCTCGCTACACGATACCCAGTGAGCGTTATAGAAAGCACAGATCAAGTTTTCCAGATGAATCCATCCGAGCCATCTTCGCCAAGCGGAAACGCGTATCTCAACTTCTTGAGTGCCGGGTAGCATGCATCATCCCAAAGTCTGAATTACATGCTCCATCACTCTCCCAATCAACGACCTGCAAACCACTTAGTAAGCTCCCATTGAGCGACAAGCAAAAGCGGAGCATCTCTGTCCCCTTGGGGATCTTGGCAGTATCGCAATTGCGATGGCTCCAGTCTTTAATTTCCAATCAACTGGTTTGTAAGTTCTGGAAACAAGTTCGTCAAAACGAATGACATAAATCTTGTCCAATGCTGTGTCTTCTTGGCCAATTTTGTCTTCCTTCCCTTGGCAGAGTAGACAAATACCACCGGCCAAGCCATTAGAAAGGCTAGCGTAATCTTTGGTTGATGAATTTTAGCGCGCTGTGATTTGCTTACCTGCTGAGCAAAGCTTTAGTAATGAGGCAAAATGACGATGGGAAACTTTAACACAGGCGGTATTGAGACACGCTATTGTCAGCTTTAGAAATGTATCGCCAATATACGACGTATATCTTGGAGCAATTCTTTTTGCACCTTTTCTATTCTGGAGAATTCTGTAGTTTTCGTTCCCCATTGAATATCTCTCGCAGACGGAGCATAAATGAGTCGCTTCTCGCTGCTCTTTGCAACTCTGGTTGCTTCAATTTCCACACTCATCTACATCTTACCTGTTGAGCAATACACCTCAGCATACTACAAAGTCATATCCATATTCAACACCAGCGACGCATCTACAACAGATATAAACACACCAACCACATCTTCCGAGCCATCTACACCCGGAAACGCCACAATGTCAATTCTCCGACAGGCCAAGATCGTCCCTCATCTATCTTCGACCAGGGGTCACAACTCACTAGGATGGCTGGACACTTACCACAGCTTTTCCTTTGCCGATTGGCACGATCCCAGATACACTCACTTTGGAGCCCTACGAGTCTTGAACGAAGATAGAGTCAAGCCCAACACGGGATTCCCCACCCACCCTCATCGAGACTTTGAAATCTTTAGCTACATCTTGTCCGGAGAGTTGACGCATCGCGATTCCATGCTCGCCAAGGGCAAGGAGGGTGGCCAATCCGATAAATTCTTCCGCATGCACCGCGGAGACGTGCAATTCACCACAGGCGGCACGGGTATAGCCCACTCCGAATTCAACGAGCACAACAAGGACACGGTCCACTTCCTCCAGATCTGGGCGATTCCGTGGAAGAGGGGCCTGACTCCCCGATATCACACTCGTAATTTCCCAGAGGAGGCCAAGAGAGAGGGCTTTGTCAAGATCCTCAGCCCGCTCAAGGCTGGCGAGGACGCCACCTTTGAAGAAGAAGCGGAAGCAGAGCCCACCATCCCAGGAACCATCCCCATCCACGCAGATCTCGTCATGGGCGCCGGCATCATCGCACCGGACGGCAAGTTTGAGTGGACGGTTGGAGGCGGCGCAGGACAAAAGACACAGCGCAAGGTCTTTGTCCACCTGCCAATGCTCAAGGGCGGAAAGGCCAAGATCCGGCTCGATGGGCGAGAGGACGCGGAGCTTTCCGAAGGAGACGGCGCATTTGTCGACGGAGTTCAGATTGGAGACAGGCTGATAGTGGAGAGCATTGGAGCGGCCGAAGCCGAGGTGGTTGTGCTTGACACGGCTTGAGGAGCCACGTTGTTATAAGAGAATCTTGTGATCGTATACTGTACAGTACGAGTACATAGGTAGTTAGTTGGTACATACATGGCGTTTTACTATAGAAACAATTTAGCATGACACATTGGAAATAAAAGGCCCGTATGAGTCAAACCAAGAAGCGGCAGAGAAAAGGCTAATGAATTGCCTGTGGTTCAAAGAGGCAACGGCCGAGCAGAAGCAGCGCGTGGGCCCCTCCAAGTTTGGGCGTGAACAGCTTTTCCATGCCAGGGTCCCCTGTCTACTAGATCCAGTGGTGTGCCTTGGCGACGCAGGCACACAGGCTCGGGCGGGTTAATGGGCTGCGAGCGTGTTGAGGCGCAATTTTGTTTGCATGCAGCTGCAAGGGGAAACCAACGATTGAGTGAACTGTTAACTGTTGATGTTGTTGATGCGTTGATGCTGATGCTGGTGTTGATGTGATACCAGACTACTAGAACCCGGTATCATCTACCTGTTTAAAGCCTCATTATAGTCTAGATAACCGAGCATTGAACCGTGACGTAAGAAGCAGCAAAGAAACAGGATCAAGAAACAGCTACGGCCTTGTCCGAGTCTCTCTAGTCCCTTATGCATAACAGGACCTTTATCGTCTTAGAGACTAGGAGATGACATGCTGCTTTTGGTGTGGCGCCATCATGTCACGGGCAAGATAAGGTGCACACAGCCTTAGTAATAACCCTGGGGCGTTGAAAAATACGGTTCAATTCCTTTCCTGGTTCAACGTTGCCTGTGTCTCGCTCTCTTCGTCTCGAGCCTGGGCGATGCTCCGCTTCACTCCGACCTCCGCCTCTGCCTACCAACAGCAACGCCCAAAGTAGAAGTGGCCGATTGAAATGAAGCCCACTTCCAAAGTACCATGCGTGAACGGCAATACTCTGACGGGACAGGAGTCGCATACTTGCACGGCTGTATCCATGCCTGAAACTCACTCGCAGGCCCTGCAGACATACGAATGCAGTGCTGGCCGAGCACAGCTTCTGCAAGGCTGAGGGCATGCAAACGAATGATGAGACTCTGGGCAGTCACTGCAGCCTGAGGCGCAGAATCTTCTTCCTCTGCCGCCCCCGCACACGTGGGAGCGTGTGTGCCCATTCGTGATAGGAAAATTCCACGACAATCCGGCTGAAATCCGAACTCAGGTTGCCCCTGTCCTAGAGATCTAAGCGCCTTGGTCTTTCAGGTACCGCGGCCTCGAAGAAGCCCTCGTCATTGGACAGCTGGGCTTTAGCCCTACGAGAAAAACCATTTCACGGCGGGCAGAAACTGCCACTAACAGACCAAGACTAGGTCTACTGATGCGCCACGCGCTAGACAAAAAGGCTTGCCCATGCAGGGGTCCCGGACACGACACATGCAAACGAGGACAGGCAATTTTCCAACGCGGTGATTCGCCATCATACGTTGCCATGGGGGGGGGGGGGCCATCCATGTCTCGATCCTTCGCTGTTTTCACCAACGCGGGAGGCTAATACGCGAGACGAACCTCTTACCATTCATGTCGCATTTGCTGTCCTGGGAAGAGGAGCCGTGAGAGCGTCGACGACATGTTGCTGACTTGGTCATGGCTGGCCAAAGCTTGTCAACATGACATGGATCCTGCTTCGTGAACTGGGCGTTTGATGGAATCGATATACTCGAACATATCCCGTTCAGGTACTCGTATGTCATGGAAAAGCTCAGCTTTCAGCTGCTCGTCGACTCGGGCTATTTTTTGCCGCTCTAAGCACTACTAGTTCTACAAGCGGCCAATCAAGCCGACAACTGACATCAGGTCGTCTGCTGCTAGTTCCAATAGTAACATCTGTACCGGTACATTCGTGCTTGTACCTGTTGTTGGCTGTGTGTTGAGACCAACCGTCCGTAGCATTCGGTTATGGGCTCGTGTGGGAAAAGACCGCAACTCCAAGTCTCTGTACACGGATACAGCGGGAATACGCATTCTAGGCTGTCCAATCTCGGCCGGGATCCCTAGAGTCAACCAATGGTGGCTGTTGAACCGTGTCTCCGGCACCAGAAACCGCTATGCCTGTTCCTGGATTCTGCAGCGTTGGTGATTTCGCTCATCTGCCCACCCTCTCTCTGGCCGAGTGGAAAAAGGCCATGTACTTGTATGGACAAATTAGGCTTCACGGATCCGTTCTTCCGTCATGGCTTACTCTGGAGAGATTGGCCAAGACCAAACGCGCATATGAGCCCAGTCCCGCGGTGCAATCAGACGGGCTTAGTGAGGTGAGGCCCCAGGGGAGGCCGAGAAAGGAAATGGCCGAGTCCACGATGGATGCACTTTGGGGGTAGGCTGGACTGTTAGTTTACAGTAGGGCCCGAGCAAGCGTGGGCAACTAAAATGCCAATGGGTGGCTTGCCACCGTTGCCTTCTCTCTTCTTCTTCTCTTCTTCTCTTCTGTTCTCTTTATCAACTCTAGCTCTGTTCACTTCAGAGACGGCTCGGTTCCTAGGCCAAGTTGCAGACGGTTTCGTCTGCGTCCTTTCGTTGATCTCAGTATCATCACGCTCATTCAACTTCCTGGCTTCGGCCACCTTACAGTCTTTTCTAGTATAATCTAGACAGTCAGTCTTTAAAATGGTTTTCGCTGCTGCTGGTGTTGCGGCCGTCGGCCTCCTGAACGGTTACTGGGTAAGTTGCCATGGTTGTCTCCTTTAGTCCCCCCCTTCAACTATTGAACACGCTGCTCATAACTAATGTTTAGGGACAACACAGCACTCCCGGTGGCCTCAGGACACACTGCGATGCTGGTATTGATTCCGTCACCCTTGGTTTTGTTAGCAGCGCCCCTGATTCCTCTGGATATCCCGGTGTCAACTTTGGACCCAACTGTTGGGCAGATTCATACCCTGACCCCAATACTGGCTTGCCCACAAAACTCTTGAGCCACTGCATGACCCTCCAGCAGGATATTCCTTACTGCAGATCCAAAGGTGTCAAGGTCATTCTCAGTATCGGAGGAGTATATGACCCCATATTCGACAACTACAAGGTTACAGACAACACCACAGCTTCCAACTTTGCCAACTTCCTTTACAATGCTTTTGGTCCTTACAACTCAAGCTGGACGGGACCTCGCCCCTTTGACGCGAGTCCCATTGACCACACCGCCGTTGATGGTTTCGATTTCGATCTTGAGCCCCCCCCAACCAGCGCCATCAGCCCTGCCTGGTGTAAGTTCTCCCCCCCTTCTTTCTTGAAATCTACCCCTATGGGCGTCGAGCGCTAAGATTTTATTCGCATGACAGCAATGGTACCTTACATCAAGATGGTTGAGACGTTCCGTGCTCTGAACCCGTCCCTGATTATGACTGCTGCCCCCCAGTGTCCTACCAACCCTCAATACTTTGCCATGAAGGACCTGATCCAAAACGCCGCCTTTGACAAGCTTTTCATCCAGTTTTACAACAACCCGGCCTGTGACGCCATTGCTGGAAACTCACAAGGCGATAGCTTCAACTACAACGACTGGGAGACCATTGTTGCCAATAGCGCAAAGAGCAAGTCGGCTAAGCTGTACATTGGTCTTCAGGCCCAACCGGCACCCCTTGGATCAACCGAGTCTGGCTACATTGACCCCGTTGCTGTGAAGAACCTGGTTTGCCAAAACCAGGGCAAGGCGCACTTTGGCGGTCTTTCGCTGTGGGACCTGTCCCAGGGTCTCTCCAACACTGTCAACGGAACGTCGTTTAACCAGTGGGCTCTCGAGGCGCTGCAGTACGGATGTAACCCCTTCCCTACTACAACTACCTCGGCAACTACTGTTTCGAGCACAACCACCTCTAAGGCGTCTTCCACGACTTCCAAGGCTTCATCCACAACCTCCAAGGCTTCATCGACAACCTCCAAGGCTTCATCGACAACCTCCAAGGCGTCTTCCACGACTTCCAAAGCTTCGTCGACAACCTCCAAGGCGTCTTCCACTACATCTAAGGCGTCTACTACATCTAAGGCTTCATCGACTACTTCCAAGGCTTCGACTACTTCCAAGGCGTCCACGACCTCAAAGGCTTCTACTACCTCAAAGGCGTCGACGACTTCCAAAGCCTCTACCACTTCCAAGGCAAGCTCTACTTCCAAAGTAAGCTCTACCTCCAAGGCTTCGACAACTTCCAAGGCTTCGACCACCTCTAAGGCTTCAAGCACATCTAAGGCTTCGTCGACGACTTCCAAGGCTTCGACCACCTCCAAGGCTTCGACCACCTCCAAGGCTTCGACCACCTCCAAGGCTTCGACCACCTCCAAGGCTTCGACCACCTCCAAGGCTTCGACCACCTCCAAGGCGTCTACTACCTCTAAAGCCTCGACAACTTCCAAAGCCTCGACAACTTCTAAGGTGTCAAGCACTTCCAAGGCTTCAAGTACATCCAAGGCTTCAAGCACTTCCAAGGCGTCTACCACCTCCAAGGTCTCGACAACTTCCAGGGCCTCGACCACCTCCAAGGCTTCAACTACCTCTAAAGCCTCGTCAACTTCAAAGGCGTCTACAACCTCAAAGGCAACCTCCACTTCTAAGGCCTCAACAACTTCCAAGGCGTCGACAACTTCAAAGGCCAGCACCACTTCCAAAGTGAGCTCCACCTCGAAGGCGTCCATAACCTCGAAGGTTTCTTCTACTTCTAAGGTATCTTCTACTTCCAAGGTGTCCTCCACCTCCAAGGTGTCCACGACCTCTAAGGCCACCTCTAGTTCTAAGGCGTCTACCACCTCCAAGGCCTCGTCAACTTCTAAAGCTTCGTCTACTTCCAAAGTCTCTTCAAGTTCCAAAGCGTCTTCGACTTCCAAAGCTTCTTCAACCTCTAAGCCTTCTTCCACTCCCAAGTTGAGCACTACATCCAAGGTGTCTACTACGTCTAAGGTGTCTACTACGTCTAAGGTGTCTACCACGTCTAAGGCCAGCACCACGTCTAAGGCGAGTTCTACTTCCAAGCCTAGCACTACCGTGAAGCCCAGCACCACTTCCAAGGCGAGCACCACTTCCAAGGCGAGCACCACCTCCAAAGCAAGCTCTACCGTGAAACCTAGCACCACTTCCAAGGCCAGTTCTACTGTGAAGCCTAGCACTACCTCGAAAGTAAGCTCCACCTCCAAGGCCAGCTCTACTTCCAAGGCGAGCTCTACGGTGAAGCCTAGCACCACCTCCAAGGTGACCACCTCCACCAAGGTATCTACAACTGCGAAGCCAAGCACTACGTCCAAGCCAACTACTTCTACGAAGCCCACCACCTCCGCTAAGCCTACGACCTCTACCACATCTGTGAAGGCTTCGACTTCGAGCAAGCCTACCGTGTCGGCATCTAGCACGAACGTGGGTAGGGGTGTGACCAGCTCAACCATTAGCTCCACCTCTTCCGGCGTCCTGTACCCCACGACAACGAGCAGGTGGTCCAACTCGACGATTTCTCGTGGCTCGGCGTCGACTACTCCTGCCGGCTCTGCGACTGTCTCCCTCACGACGAGCGTTGTTTACACAACGTCTGTGCACACCGTTACCAAGTGCCCGTCCTACGTGACCGACTGCCCGGCAGGAGGCTATGTGACCACGGAGACCATTGCTCTGTACACTACCGTCTGCCCCGTCAGCGAGGCAACCCAGACTGCTGCGCCTGTGACCACGGAGGCTTCCCAGCCCGTGACCACAGAGGCCTCTCAGCCTTGGACCACCAGCACTGTGTACACGACCAGAGTCTACACCATCACATCTTGTGCTCCTGATGTCCCCAACTGCCCGGCGAACCAGGTTACCACCGAGACGATTCCCTTGTACACCACTGTGTGCCCCGTGACGGCGGCAGCTACCAGCACCCCCGTTGGACCCGCCAGTGTCGAGTTCCCTCAGAACACGGACGTTGGACAGCCTTCTGCCGGTGCTCCCGTCGTTGAAGCTGCCTACCCCACTGCCTCCAGCGTCCAGACCATTGTCAAGCCTGCCACCTCCGTCGGAGTGCCTCAGGGTCCTTATGGTGGAAGCAGCGTTGTCACGAGCTCTCCAAGCCAGCCGACCAACCCTGCGGGTTCTCCCAGCTATCCCAGCGGCGGTCCCGGCAATGCGGCGCCTTCTGGAAGCTGGAGCGGCGTGCCCGTTGGTCCTTCTACGGTCCCTAGCATTCCTGGAGCAAACGGTGCCTCTGTGATGAGTGCTAGCCTGATGGGTTTGGCCATTGTTGTGGCTGCACAGGTTTTCGTTCTGTAGATCATAGACATGTTCGATTTGTGTTTTACGGATGGACTCTCCCAAGAGAGCCGTTATTTCTTTTTCTTAAAATACTTGTTCTTCTGAGACCCTTAATGAGGGGTTGACGAAGAACCTTTTATACTTATATTTTTCTTCTTTTTTTATGTCGATACGGTCTGGATATGTGTAGGACTTGCTGTACACTTTAGCTTATGACGATGATTTTACAGGCCATTAACGGAGCGCATTCCGGTTTCAATATGTTAAAATTTTCATCCTGAAAAGCTAGCTTCACAAGTGACTGGGCATACTCTGTTGATGATTTGCACTGTACGGCGGTGTTGCGACTGAGATTGTAGTGTAAACGTTGCAATTTTGCTGAGAGAGTTGACAACCCGGTTTGATCGTGAGTTTAGCCAAGTTGTCGTTCTTTCATAGCCACAATGAATACGAACAAAAGGCCCACTTGGACTAGGTTAATTATGCCAGATCAGATTGAGACAATCTATTGCCTGATTTCCCCCGCACTATCCTCATCCGCTCATCCACTCACTCCATCTTGCAAGCCTTTCAGAAACCAACAACCTTCCGCCCATCTATATATACTGTCTGCCTCTTTAGTATAGCAAAACATAGAATAACACCCAAACATACACTCACCCACAATGGCAGCTCAATCCCCCGACGGAACGCCCATCGACCTCGCAGAAAACAGACGTCGCATGGCCCGCGGCGAGCTCTACTGGGCCTTCACACCAGATCTCATCCAGGACAGAAAGCAGTGCGCCAGGGTATGCCGGAGGCTGAACACGGCCGAGGACGTTGGCAGGCGAGAACTCGTTGAGATTTGGAACGAGTATGTCTTCTTCCCCTTTATTTTTTTTTCTTTCCGTGTTATCCAGTTATCTCTTTGAAAAAAAAAGACGTGGCTTTTTCACTCGTGATGATTTTTTTGGGTGTTCATGGATGAAGGGTTCTTTCTTACTGATGGGTTCTTCTTCTTCTTTTATTCATTTATAGGATTACTAGAGATGAAGAGCCACTGCCGCCAAAAGCTGCTACTGAGGATGAAGACGATGCCTTGTTGGAGGATTATCCATGGGTTGAAGGACCGCTGAAGACGGACTACGGATACAACATCAAGTGCGTCCCCCTTTCACCATGAACAGACCAAATCTCCCCCATTAACCCCCAGCAGACTCGGGGAAAACGTCTTTGTCAACTCAAACAGTACCTGGATCGACACCTGCCCCATCGTCATCGGCGCCCGCACCCTCATCGGCCCCAACTGCAGCTTCTACTCGGGCACGCACCCGCTCGACCACCGCGTCCGCAACGGCACGCGCGGGCCCGAGTCCGGAAAGCCCATCCACGTCGGCGAGGACTGCTGGTTCGGCGGCGGCGTGACGGTCCTGCCGGGGGTGACGATTGGCAAGGGGGCGGTGATTGGCGCGGGCAGCGTCGTGACCAGGGATGTTCCTGATGGCGTTGTTGTCGCGGGGAATCCGGCGAGGGTGTTGAGGAAGACGATTGAGGAGACGGAGAATGGAGCTGTTTGAAGGATGTGTAAGAGTGAGGTCGTGAATAGAGCATAGAGTTGCGTTAGACACCTCTGATAGAATATACAATATTTGTTTTGTTTATCAGCGAGTGATAACTCAGTTCGGGACCCCAATAAGCCCCTTGGCTTTTGTAACAAGACTTGAATTCTTCCCTTATGAAATTGATCCCTCCTTCATATCCTCCTTCTCAGGCGTCACATCTCCGCTCGTTTCACCCTCAATAGCCATTGTGACCAGCGGCGGTGACCTGCCGGTGACAATTCCAGTGAGCACTCTGACCAGCGTTGCTCTGCTTTCCCATATCGGGTACAATCCAACGCAGATAAACGAACAAAAGATCCAGATGATGCCAACAGTCACCCAGCCGGTGAAGAAAGGCTTGGAGAAGATGTACCCGGTGCCGTACATGGGCATCGGCCAAAGAACGAGGAACGCAAGTGCCCTGTTGCGCATGTTAGTGGCATAACTCACTGGAAAGGTGTCCAAATGATTCAAACTTACATAAAGACAGTGACAAAACAGGCAACCTTGAATGCCTTGTTAAGCTTCCGGCGCTCTTCCTCGGATTCCGTACGCTCCTGGTTTCTCTCCAGCTGTCGTTGCGCTTCGCTGTCAAGCCCCGACGCCTGGATCATGTCGTGGTCATCCACCTTTCGAATCTCCATCATGGACTGCCAGTTGTACTTGTCAAAGCCGAAAATGAGACAAAATAGCGGCACGAGAACAACAGGCGCTAGCAACGCAACGACGTTGCCAGCCAACATCGGATCGTTCGAGCCCGTGCAGTCGACATCCAGCTTGCCGCACTTCTTCTTGGCAGTGACGAGCCAGGCAACAATGGCGCAGGTTGTGCCCAAAATAGGCGAGAAAATTGCTGCCCAGCGGTTTTGGCCGTTCCACAGCAATGTCAACGTGGCCGGGATCACAGCAGCCGAGATGAGCACGCCCATGAGCAGATAGAGGTAGCCCATGGAGATGCCGTTATACCATAAGCCAGTGGAGATGCAGCAGACGACGAGCATATAGGCGACCATGGATATATGAGACATCCATACGAGACTCTTGCTGCTGGCACTAGGGCGGATATAAGTCCTGTAAATGTCGTATGTGAAGATGGTGGATGTTGCTACCAGCTCGGCACTGAACGCTGATGTGACGGCCAAGAAAAGCATAATGAGAGTAGCAATGGCGCCACCTTTGCCCATGAGGGCTACGGCGGCGTAAGGAAGAGCCAAACCAGCAGAGACTTGCGAATCCGTGAGGCGGTTAGGGTACGTCGGGAATTGAGGGCTAGATTCGAGGGCAAGCGCCGCAAGGCCAAGCGTGGTGGCTGTCAACCATGGAATAGCAAACCATGCCGCACCGCCCATGATGTATCCCGGCAAGGCATGAATAGGGCTTGCTGCAATACTCTTGTTGTAGTAACCATTATCCAAGAACACGGTACCAAAGTTTCCAACAATGTTGATGACGAAGAAGATGGCGCCACCCTGAGACTTCATGGTAAGGTAGCTGCCGTCGCGGTTGCCAGAGACGGGGTGGGCCTGGGCAGCTTTTACGAGGAGATCGTATACGGCTGCCGGGCTACCGAGCACATCGGAGGTGGCGTAGGTCTTGAGAGCAAAGATCATGATGATAATAAGCACTGCAAACGTATGGATATAGTCTGTGATGAAGGTGGCCTTGAGACCACCAGACACCGTATATGCCACCACGGGGATGGGGATGAGGAAGATGGCTGCTACGGCATGCATCCCGGTCAACGCATTTACAGTCGCTGCTCCTCCCGTGATCAACATGAGCGAAACCAGCATGTTGGTCATGAGGCCGAAGACGATGAAGGTGAAGTGTGCTGCCATGCCATACCTTGCCTTGATAACTTCCAGGAACGTATGCGCATTTGGTGCTCGCTTCTTGAGCGTGATGGCTATCGTAGCAAATAACAAGATCTGAACAGTAGCTCCAGAGGCATACCAGAAGGGGCCAGAGACGCCATATCGGTAGCACACGCCAGAGCTCTGTAGTAGAGTCGCGGCCCAGGTCCAGGAAGAGACGACAGCTGAGGCTACTAAACCAGATTTGACGGTACGGCCGGCAGTATTGAACATTTCAGACGTCTGAACTTCATTGTTGAACCGTTTAAGGATGTGAGTAACGGTGATCTATTACAAGGCATGTTAGGCGATGCTGTTTCGGTGTTGATTGAAGGAGGCAAGTCTCGGTCAGACTCACCATGAAGATGGCAAAAGCAAAGCCGAGGCCAAGAACAATGCCATAGCCATAGGCTTGGCTCAGCGGGGTAGAACTTGAGTCAGACATGATTCTGCCCAGGAGTTGATGCTTCACCAGGAAGGCTGCCCAGGACGTTGCATTCAAGATGTCTCCTTATGCCGGTAAGCTGTCCAAATCCGGAGACAGAGGGAGAGAATACGTATATATGTAGCATCTTGCACAAGTTGTTATCTAGATGCTTTGCATTCGATCATGGCTCCCATAGATTCGGCCAGTTCCGGTGCAAAGCCTTGCCAGGACCAACAATCTCTTGCTTGGGCATGATTAAACCCCCAACTCCCACTTGGTGATTTTCCATCTTGTAGATTGCGATTTCTCGCTAGAGAGATATGATAAGAACGGAAGAATCTATTGAATCAGTCACAGGGAAAAAAAGCGCTCTGGCGACGATGAATCGCGACATTCCGATACATTGAGTTTGTGTCTTGAGACTATTGTATCGTAGGGCTGCCGATCGGTAGTGAAGCGCGTATCAACGACACCCGTTGACAGCTTCTGGGGCAGCGCCGACCGTTGCAGGGGAGCTGATAATGGATAATGGGATCGACGCCATGCCAAAAGCAAATACAGGCTAAACAGCAAAATTGATTGTCGAGTGTTGCTTATCAGCCGCGCCCTTTGGTGAAGTGAAGATGTGGTTGGCTCAAGAGTGAGAATGTAAGGACGCAGGTAATGACATGTTCGTGGTCGAGATAAGCTAACGTCAAAGATAGGAGATGCTGCTATAGATAGGTGCCGCGCCCCCCGCAAAGTTACCCCATGCCCTAGGACTAAGATTCCGTGGCACGAACCGCGGAGAAGGCCTGCAAAGAGCCGGGGATGGATGAACCGGCAGAGATAAGATACAATGTCAACGCATTGAGAGATAACAGTCATCGCACAACTAATCGCTTCGTCTTCCCTATCTTTGGAGATGTGCTCCGTAAGATGTAGCGATTAGCAGATGCGGCACGGAGAATTACTTCCATTGGTAGTAGCAATAAGTCATTGGATTAGTACTCATAACAGAGATGGATAAGAGACGGCTCCACCCCAAGCTCACCCGGATATGGGAGATAAGCATTCAAGGCAAAGACAAAGACAAAGACACAGCGCCGGCGGACGAAAACGTCGATTGGTGATTCTTCGCTATTGGCTTCACACATTATGTGGTACTGATAAGGCGATGAGGTAAAGGCGAGAGTCAAGAGTCAAGGGAGATTCGTGGATTCTCAAGTAATTCCATAGGCTAATGTCATTGTCATCTCCTCGGGCAGATTATGATAACACGTAATGTCGTTTCATGATGTTAATGACACTGGATATGATCTGCCGCCGGCCATCATCTGCTGCCGGCGATCTTGATCTTTGTCTCCCCATGCGAGATGCGATTGTGGGGGTTGGTAGAGTAGAGTTGAAGGCATTACATGCCCGTTTGCTGTTTGTTGAAGAGGCTTCCTCTTCCCAGAGCATATGATTGGTGGTAACAGCCCATGGGATCATTCCGGCCATTGCGCCGTGATCAGCTATCTCATCTTCCGTCGATCTCGGGGAATGTAGGAATAGGCTCTCCTGGAAGAAGGTATGGACGAATGGAGGGTATATGCAGCTCTCTTTCGCGCTGATTCTCGCTCTGTTCCTCTGTGCCTGTGTCACCGTCCCAGGTCGACACCTCGTCTTGACGCATCCATCAGCCCTTCTTCAAAAATACTGGCCCAGCGCTGTGCCAAGTCTGATATGTCAAACGACATGCCTTGAGCAGCGCTACCAAGCTCGGCCACAACGGACGTCGCCAGCTTTCCCTCGAGGCCACAGGGTACGAACCGAGCCCACGGATTGACATCTTCGCCGCCCTTTACGGATACATCAATGTTGATGGCAGTGCCCAAAGCTGTGACGTACCGCCGATGGTGAACCCCAAGAGCTGCAATCTTGCGCGGCTGGCCCGACGAGGCCCGAACCCAGACCCCGGGCTCATCACGGTTGGTATAAGTTTCAATGTCAAACATGTCCGAGAGAAATTGCTGCGTGGTCGCCTCAAGATGACTGGCAAACGTGGAGACGCTATACTTGGGATAGAGGGAAGAATGCATGTCCAGCACTGGCCAAAGGACAAGCTGGCCGGGGCCATGATATGTGGTGAGGCCTCCGCGGTTGGTCTTTTTCACCTGAGGATGAAAGAGCATTTTGATGGGCTGAGGATGCCGCAAAAGATGGACGCCCAACGGCCGCTCCAGATGTGCCTTTTGGTCTTGAGTGAGATCATCCTGTCGACGTCCCAGCGTGAAAGTTGGCGTAGATTCAAATGATATAAGACGAGGCCGGGGACACTCATGCTCTGTCCTCGACTTTTCGGGGAGTCCCTTCCAGGTCAAAAAGGCAGCCCGAAGCCGTTCCTGGGCATCTTCGGCAGATTCATAGCTCGTCAGGCCAGTAGAATCATCTTCCGTGAGATGCTGGTGCTCCAGAAGAGTTCGAGTTCCCCTCGTCGAAGTCGTCGTCTCCCATCGTCGGCCCTTTATTGACAGCGCCGCCTTTTGCACCAAGTGCCGTGTCGATAATGCTGCCGTCGTCAGCCTCACAAGTTGCAGGCGGGACACGTGCCACATCTTGTGACCTGGATTGAGTGTTCTCCTAGCAAAGGGGAATAAAAAAGGGTGACCAAGGCGTTGATGCAGCAGTGCCTATTAGCCGCAGGTATGTACTCGTATGGACATGCTAACGTTAGTCGATATTCGGCGGCCCCAAGAGGCGAAATCTTGTAGCGCCCGAGAGACGCTAAAAGCGAGGTTGTGGATGCTGCTGACGTGACGCTGCCGGCGAACTTGGTGACGAGTCCAAGCAAGCCAAAATCAAGGGCTTCAACCATCGAAAGCCATCTTCACTCCGCCCTGGCTGATCATGTGAATGCTGATCCGAGTCTATCGGTTCGGCACACCACATTCTAACGCCTCTTCCATTCGTTTCCTGACCAAGTGCTCCGTACGCATCACCGGCTTCATGACATCAAACGGCTGGAGAATCCGCTGTGGAGAGGGACAACAAGGTTTGCGCCAGCGACGGCCGCACCGCCAATTGTGCCATTGAGATGTGTTTGTGGAGGATATACACGTACAATGATGGAATGCGTCTTCTGTCCCTTAACCTTGATCGTACGGTGCTCCGGAGGTACAGTAGGCTGTCAAGTCTCGACTCGTATTGGGCACTTAAGATGCTGACGGATTACCCGTTTGGCATTGCTGTAGCGTAAGTATGCAGCTTCTCGAGCCTCTGCATCGTTTCAAAATTCAATTTGAGCTATACAAGGAAAACGGCGAGCAGAATTGGGTTCCCCGGTCTCGGTATAGGCTCACCAACCGTTGCCAGAGCAAAGCCTTTGAATTGGTGTTTCTTGGATTCCCTTCTTTCTCGTTTGCTTGTGTCGTCATCGCCCTGCTCCACGATCCCGCCAGCCAACCAGAGCCGGCGCCAGCCCGCCAAAAGCCTAATACTATGTAACTATCAAGAACTAGCATCGGGAGCTGCAGCAGCGCGATCGCCAGAATGTGATTGTGGGTGACTTTTCGTTTGCGACATCGTCACTCGCACGTCGTGTAGCTTCTACGTAGCCCCAAGCCATTGAAGCCACCGGAAAACTCGTAGCCTGTACTTGAGATCTGGGCAACGTAACCGTGGACCTGCGTGGCTCAATAACTGCATCATCAAGCCCCGCCGCTCCTGCCCCAATTCCTGCCTGCCCTGCCCTGTATCCAGCTTTGCTCTCTTCAGCTTCTACTTGACCTTTTCTTCTTCTTCTTTTTTTTTTTCAAACACCAGAATTGCTCAGTATTCAATTACCGACATAATTACACCGTCTCCCCAATTGCTTCTGCTGGTCTGTTCATGACCATCTGAATAATCCCTACCTAGCTGAAGCAGGGTCTCCTGCAGCATCTGTGCCGTCATCGTTCTTGCGGCATCCTACTTATTACTATCATTACTGTCTCTTTGGGCCCCGGAAGACTTTCGTTGACGGTGCAATCCTGCCTGTCCGTACCCTCCAACCGCTAATTACCAATTGCGAAGCCGACCCAAGATGCCTAAGAGTAGGTTTGCTCTCGTATAACATTGTCTAGCATCACCATCACCGACATTGCCGCCCACTCCGTCCCTCTTTCACGAGAGGCAAGCCAAGCTAACCAAGAAACCTTGCATAGACGCCATTCTAGGCACTTCCGGCCTCATTCTCCTTTCCACCTCCATCCTGTTCATCTGGTTCATCATCCTCCCCGGTGTCACGCACGATACTCCCTTCAGAAAGACCTACTACCTTCGCGCCGACACCAGTGGCATCACAGGCGCCCGAGACGTCTCCCAGTGGACATACTTCTTCATCTGTGGCCTCGACAATAACGATTGCGGAGATGCTCACCCCGCCATCCCTTTCGGGTTTGCCTGGGACAGCAATGCACAGAACGTGCCACCGGGACTTGGTGGAAGCCATGGCAGCGACACAACGTCGTTCCATTACTTTTACATGTGGCGATTTGGATGGGTGTTTTTGCTCATGACGCTCTTCTTTGAGGTCATGGCCCTCTTCACCGCATTCTTATCCTGCTGTGGCCGTCTAGGCGCTGCGCTTGCCTTTGTTGTCTCTGCCATCGCTCTCTTCTTTTTCACACTCGCCGTTACCATTATAACGTACGTCAAGCCCCAAGCCGTGTATCCCCCCTACCTTATCTATGGGTGTCTGCCCGCGTAACCACTTGTAAAGTCACTCGCTAACAGCCGCTACACAGCGCTACTTTCGTTCAAGCTCGCAACCGCTTTCACGATGTTGGTCGCTCGGCCCAGATCGGAGCTTACGCCTTTGGTTTTCTCTGGGGTTCATACGCGGCCCTTCTCTTTGCTACCGTCCTGTTCGCCCTCGGCATTCGTTCTGACACCAGCTTTGGGTTGAGACGCCGGCGTAGTGAGAAGGGTTCTCGCGGACGCTCTTACGATGGTCATCGGGTGAAAGAGGACTACTCGTGAATGTGACGATGGCGGCTCTCTTCTTGTTATAGTCCACACAACAGCACCGTAGGAGAAGAAGAGGAAGCGAAAAGAAGAAGAAAACGTACTAATACTAATATTAGCCTACGGGTGTTTGATGATGATGCCAAATGGCTCTAATATGATGAAGCAAGACTCTGCGTTCATCACGCCGAAGGGGAGGAAGCAGATGCCAGACGAGGCTCGTTGTGGTCAAATGTCCGTCTGGCTTGATGGTTCTTTGCAAATACCTACACTCGCTGCTAGCACGCAAATATCGTTACATAGGCTTTTGAAATATTAATCACCAGGTTTAAATTCTTTTTCTTTGCAATGCCAAGCGGTTGCAAATGGCTCAGGGGCCCGCACTTCAACTCAACTCGTTCTTACAAACATCACCGGCGCAGAGCAAAAAAGTCATCAATCGTATACATGGATGATAGATATAATTAATTTGCAATGTTGCCATCGTGTTCTTGGCCTTGTGTCTTTCATATGCGTACAAAAAAAAACTCCCCCCAAAAAAGAAATCCTTCCCGCCGTATACACCAATGCCTGACATCCCTCCAACCCCACATGCCCATCCTCGCCAGTCGTGTCCGTCCCCCCGGCTTCGCCTACAAGAAAGAAGATATGCATATATATAGATATAGATATAGTATGAGATGAATAAAAAAAAGAATTCCGAGAAAGAAGACGAAGAGATTCTTTTGCGTCATGGAGCGAATCAAATAAAAAAATAAAAAAAAAGGTAACAAAAGCTCGAAGTTATCGTCCGCTTAACAGTAGCTCCCTTTGAATTGAAAAAAAGACAAAAATCCTCCGTCTAAGAAATTTGTGGCCCATAAGCTGAGAAGGTTGTTGTTGCTGCGATGTGTTGCGTACAAGCAGGCGACTCTTTGGTAGTCGTGATCGAAGGCGAGTTTCTTCCTCTCCACAACTTTTTGCTTTATTTGTACAAAAGAGTAGTCGTCCTAGCAGTTGACATCTCCTCCACCATCAATTTTGTTTCCCCTCTTCGCTTTTTGATGCTATTTTCTGATTCGTGTTGATAACTTCAACCAACTCAGATACCAGCTCCTGTTGGCAAATGTCATAGCGCCGACTCCTTGCTTTTTTGGTAGGCCAGTCCACAATGCGGCTAAATAGTTGGCCTGGCGGTGCGATCAAGGCAAAACAGATTTCTACTCCATCTCTCATCGTCTTCTTTTTTTTTCATGACTCAAAATTATTCGTGTGTCGATAACTCATAGGCCTTGGTTGAGAACAGGGCTTCCCAACGGGCTGATACTGTCCAGGGGTGCGGCATGAAGCGCTGGCTTGCTAGGACCGTCGCCGTTGTGCCCTTCCGCGTTCTTCTTCAGCACAGACTTGACCCATTCGGCAACCTCGGCATCTTCGGTGCCCGAGCTTAGATCGATGTGTCCCACTGCCTCTGCTACCTTATCTGCGGCCTCACCATCTTCGGCGACTTCAGTAATCGTTTCCGGCTTAGTCAAAGACTGGATCCAAGGATGCTTGAGCAGCAGAGCGTACGTCGGTCGCATCTTGGGGACCTTGTGTAGACAGCTCTTGACAAAGTCCTTTGCCATATCCGTGTAGCCCTCCTCTGGCATGGCTGGGGGTTCGCCTTCGACGATTGCCTGTAATTATCTAGTCAGCAAGGATTCCCGTCACATCAATCGGTAGCAAACTTACATTCAGTTGGCTGAAAATGGTGGACGAGGCTTCGGGTGGGTATGGGTACTGGCCCATGGCGCATTCGATGATTGTCAGGCCCAAGCTCCAAACATCGCTCTGGACGCTGTAGGTACCGTCGGTACCGCCTGGTTGTGCCATGGCACCTCCGGATATCCGCTCAGGGGCCATGTAACTCTGGCATCCAATGTTTGTTTTGGCTATACTGGCCACGAGGTTGCCGCTGACACCGAAATCGCAAATCTTGATCTGGCCTCGTGTGTTGGCCAAGATGTTCGTTGGCTTTACGTCACGATGGATAATGTTATGCTCGTCTTTTAGTGACTTGAGGCCCATGATGGCTGAGTAGGTGATCTTGCGCAGGACGTTTTCAGGTATGCCTCCGGCGTAGATCTTGTCAATGGAACCGCCATCCATGTACTCGATGCACATGTAAACTGCGCCCTCTTGAAAAAAGGCTCCGTAAAAGTCAATGATGAATGGAGACACACACTCGTGCAATATGACCAACTCTTTCAGAATAGTGGTGAACTTGGCATCATCGAGCTCGAGTCGAATTTCCTTCATCGCCATCACTTTACCGGTCCGACCGTCCAATACGCTTGCAGCGTCTGTGACCGCCGAGTCCGACTGGCTGCGGTGCGGATGCGGTGCCAGCTTGGCTCCCGACAGACCGTGCCCGAATCGCGGCGCACTCGGCTTCGCATGTCTGACCTTGTATACCGTTCCATAGTTGCCCTTTCCGAGCTCGTCTATTATTTCCACCTCGTCAAGGGATATGCTGAAGGTCTGGCCATTAGAGAAGTTGACTCCGGTCCGAGTAATCGTAGCGGCACCGTCAAAAGTGATCCAGCCCTTCTCCGTATCAATGTACTTCTTGAAGTCGTCTAGTTTGGATCCCAGCGAGGGTTTGCCGTTGGGAACGCTAGCCGGGCCGTTTCCAGGGATTCCTGCCGAGAAAGAGGGAGCACCGGCCCGGCGCAGCCCACCCGTAGGCATGGGACTGCCACTGCCGCCCATATCAGAGAGCTTCATTCCCATACCCATATTAGCTCTCCTCTCGCTAAGGGAGGGCTTTGGTAGGACAGGTGCCGATCTGGGGTGCGGCACGGCACCGGGACGCTGCATGGTCGGGGGCATGCGGAGGTTAGGGAAGCCGGGCGCCACGGGGCCTCCGGACGAGGACATCGGTGAGACAGGCGAGCTGCCCGCCGCTGCCATGCCCTTTTGCAGTCGCTGCTGGTGAAGGGCTCGCGCCTTGGCCATGACGCTGTTTTCCATGGCTCCGGCGCCCCCTATAAAAGACGAGGTTGCTTGGGGAGGATGCCTCGCCTTGCCTAGGATTCCCAATGTGGTCGAGTTGGGGTTCATATTTCGAGGGTCGGAAAAGGTGTTCAAGGATGGAAGCCGCTTAGGAGAGTCGCCAAGCTCATCACCGTTGGGCGTGCCAGCCACCGATGAGTCTTCTGAGTATGGAGATGCTTGTAGCGAGAGCTCACGAGTACCATCAGACACGCTGTCCGGCGTGGCCGGGACAGAGCCGGAACCGCTCATTGTGACAGTTGAAGAGATGTAGCTGCGCGGCTATTGCTCAGAGCGGGAGTGATGGGGATAGAGACGGAGGGATGGTGGAGCGAAGAATCTCCCAGTATTCCAAAGTAGTAACCATATACCAAGGTCGCTATGCTCGATCGAAGGTGATGGCGTCGCAAAGGGCAAGGGCCGCCAGCGACCCTGGCAAGAGTGACGAGGACGACGAGGTTTTTGCGGTGGGCGTGGACGAAGCGGGTGGCCCGAGGTGGAGGTTTTGAAGCTCGACCAAGGTGGGGTTTCGGAGGCAACACGATGCTTTGTCGCTGACAATGGCTTCAACGGCCGATATGCGGGAGGCGGACGGCGGACGGTTTGGTCCTGTGGGCTACGGCTCGTCGAGGGCTAGGCCAGTCTAGACTTTTGAAACAGCGGCTGGGCTAGAGAGAAAAAGGCTGATGCTTTTCCCAGATGCTCGCTGGCCTCGGCTGTCGCTCGGTTTATACCGCTCTGTGCCTTTCTGACACAAGTTTTTTTTCTTCTTTTCTATTCTTGGCTCGTGGGGGCGATGCGACGAGAGCGAAGAGAGAATGACGAGAGGGCGAAGAAGGAAGGGGGGAGAAGAATCTGAAAGGGCAGCCGGGCAAAGAAGACGGCGAAGGCTGCAGAAGGACGGTTAGCTTACTGCGGGTTTGGATTTTCGTCGGGATGCGATGGCAGCAATGCGGATTCCAGCTTCTGGACGACTGTGGATGAAACGGCGCTTGCCTTGTTTCTGCGCCCGGAGCTATCGACAACCAGCCCCAGTCCGCCAAGTGAAATGAGGCTTTGTACTCCGTGCTCCCGTCGGCGCGGTAGTTGCGAAGAGCAAAGCAAATTTTTCTTTTCTTCTTCTTTTTTCTTTTTGCTTCTCCAACGAAAAGAGCAGTCGTGGGACACACCGTCTTGCGGACGATGGCACTTTTCAATGATTTAAAGGGTCGAAAGCACAAGGTACATACAAGAACAGCGGCCCGAGCTCAGAACCCGCCTGGGCACTTGGTACACAGGTAAAAGGCAGGTATATTGTATTGGATGAGAAACTTGAAGCTGCGGCGGTGTCAGGGTGCCATTCAACTCCTCGCACAGGTACAGCGCATCAGGCTAGAAGCAGGAATCAAATCTCACCTCCCTGGCCAGCAATCAGGAACGCCCGCTGGCCAATTCCCTGGACCGTCGACGGTACCTCTGGCTATTTTTGGTCGGTTGAAGAAACCTGAACGCGCCTGGTGTAGTATACTTGATCAGGCCTCGGTACCACCTTGTCCAAAGTGCTAAGCTGCAATGGGCGCCGTGAGGAGTACGGAATTAGCAGCAATGGCAGAAGGCAGAGCTTCCCAAGTTTCTGTGCGGGGTTGTCCAAGGATTGACGGGTTTGCTTTTTGGTGCGGAGTTTTGGAGGTGGTGCTGCAATAGCAGTAACGATGACGATGACGATGCAAAGGCACAGCTAGCTGCGACGTGCGTCAAATGGGCAGAATAGCGCCGAGTAGCTGCAAGATATCGTCAGGAGGCGTCTCGGTGCCGGCACGTCATGTACAAGCAGGGCACGCTGCATGCGCCTTCAATTGGAGCGCCGGGATTGGGCGGCTGTGGCGACTTTTGGACTATCGTGACCTGAAAGTGGGCATCAGTGTCATGTCACCGGGTAAAAGTTGCTGGAGTGGTTAATGACCTATGGATGCCTTGAATGTTGCCGACAGGGGATTGAGAAATGGCGAATGGCCGTCTGAGAAGCGATGCTGGCTGTGAATTGAAGCTGTGTGACGTGTTGTATTCGAGGCAGTGAGTTTGCCCGTCAGCTTTGGGCTGGACAATAGGTAGGGAATGTGAGTACGGTAAAACAGCAGACAAGGGGTCCAACGTTGGGTTTAGCGGCCGGTCAGGCCAAGGCAAGGCCAAGCGAAGCAAGGCAAAGCAAAGCAAAGCAAATACAGGAGTGCCAGTGAATAGCCTGGGATCAATGGAGAGTCAAGGACAGAAGAGAAGGAATCGTGGAAATGAAGGGGAGGAAAGGAGATAGGCAAGATCCAATGTGATGTGGATGACTGCTGTTGGCGTTATATAGACCAGACTACATGTACACTCTAGCATCACCGTCTCCCACAACGACAATCAAACGCTTATTAACCAGAAACGCTCAAACACACGCTATTGTGCATCTCGTCAAAGCCCAGACCAGCAGCGGGAAAATCTACTCTCATCGCGGCGTGCTTAATTAACATGACCTGCGCCTTGGGCGACGTTTGATAGGTGACCTTGAGGCCTCTTGGGTGGAATTCTCTGTACCTTACCGCGCTGAAGTGGCTGTCCGACTCCACACCAAAGGTACTTTGAGCAGCCCATGTGTTTCGTATTTGCAGCTCACCATCTACGAGGCCGCGGCGCCTATCACCACAGGCCGTCTAGGTATCGCCAGATGGGATGGTACCTACCGCGCCCGATGATCCATATCAGACAGATCTCATGATGAAACCGCCTCTGGTCCCCGAGCCGTGCCTTGGGCTATCAAGCGAACGATGGTGGCCTATCACGGCTCTGAACAATGACGGGCCAGTTCGCCTAGAGGGGGGCGATTTTTATCTTCCATTTGCTTCCCAGAGCCACCAAAAAAAGACGGAGCTACTGTGGGTGCAATGCAAAGGCCGGGTTACCCCAGGATCGTTTTCTCAGTGACGCCGAATGAATATGGGCATCTCGAGCCTCGCCATTGGGCTGCTAAGATGAGGCTGCGGCAGGCTCTGCATAGCGAAGCAGTAGCTGCCTGAAAAGCTGACGTCGGCATCCAATGGCGAGCGGTATCTTGGCCGCCCTTGCATCTGCCGCCTCTCATCTATTGCTTCTTCCCGTCCCTTTCTGAGTCAATTGCAATCTCGTTCTGCGATGGCGTAAATGCGCTTCTGCAGCTAAGCTTGACTTTGGCACGGGGGCAATTTGGGCGCCAGGTACCAGTGAAGACAGCGTCGACGGTAATTCTAGGTGCTTGGTCTGAGCATAAATGTCAACTGTACAACTCGGCCTTCAATATGGTCTGATTGTTCGAGGATGCATCATAGCTCTAAGCCGGGAGCCTAGCGGAGAAGCGATCGGCGCTCCATTCGTTTCAAACTGCTGTGCTGCGTGCAACGTCTGCAGTATAATTTCCCCCTCCATCAGATTTATCATGACGTCCTCTTTCAGCATGATGGCGATCTGGTGGATGAGGCGACGGATTGAAACAGCCATGGACACAAGCCATATCATGGTGACGACGACGGAATGCATAGCACGTCAATTATCCGGTTTCACGATGATGGCAGCTGTGAGTGTCTTGGTAAAGCACAATGATGAGTAGGATTATACTCCGTACATGCCACTGCACCGTACTCATCTCAGTAACACACAGAGGTACCAGATGCCGTGGACGCCTTGCTTGAAAGAGCGATGCTTGAAAGTGATGGAGTCGGGACGTGCGGGTGCTGGCTGCTGGCAATCGTTGACTGGCTGCCTCTTGGTTGACGAAATGAGACAATCTCAGTTGCTGCTAGCGGTCGTCTGAAATGCAGCATTCACAGCACGGCTGACAGGCAGACAGATGCCGGATTGAAGCATCCATCACATCCGGGGGACAATTACAATTACAATTACAGTTACTATCCGCACAGCATAGCAGATCACCTTCAAGTCCGAAGGCAAACACGTCTTGCGTGTGCTTTGCGTTGGCATTCTTGCCAAGGGGGGCTGGCTTCGCACAGATAAGGCTCCCAAGACCCCTTATCTCGTCCCAAGTCTCACCAGCCTGATTGCACGATTGAGTGCAATTACGTCTCCATGTCTCTGCATCACGGGCTCTGCATGTAATTTGTACTAGGTACAGTACGGAGTACATACTTCACAGCCACAGCAGACAAAGCCCTTGTTGGCGCCGTGGCTTGCTGGCTGACGAAGCACAGAACAAAGGCACGAGGGCACGTGACTCCAGCCTCTGCAGGCTCTCCAGTTCCTCAGCTTGTTTCGCACCCTTCCATCCGCTTCTGCTTTGATAGCCCTACGCCCCGTCACCCCCTGGCAGGGCTTCTTTTGGAGGGCTCATGGGCTCAATGCGGACTTCCATTGGCCGGCGGAAGCATCCCGCGCCAAGTACCTGGCAGCGCAAACACCCATTCAGAGTGACATCAGCCCGCCGGTGGCACGCCCGATGGGACCGCCAAGAAGAGTCAATGACACCAAGAGAGCTGCTAGAGGCTGGCTAGAGGCTGGCTAGAGGGCCCTACAAGCCCCGACAAGGGCCCAAAGAGGGCACCAACAGACCGCTAGCCCAGAAGCTTGTTTGCCCAGCTCTTCCGCGCCTCATCTATCTCATGTCACTCTTGCGTGTTGCGCGACCATTCGCCTCTCTTATCTCTTGAGTCGTGTCCCCAGAGCAGCGTCATACGAGTCGAGGTTAGTTACTTTCTGCTCCGTTGCTTTGATGCCTGTGAGACCTGTATCTTCTTGGCCTCTTTTTTCTTTCCCAGTCAGACGCTCAGACGGGCTCCCGCAATGCCCCCATTCGCATTCACTGCAGCCCATTTAACCTGCATCCTCGCACCTCCGCGCAATCCACGGCCCCTTTGACATGCTGCTGAATGACCTGGACCAGCGACTAACTGTACCTGATCAGGCACCCTTGGACGCTGGCTGGGCATCCCATTGGCTTCACCCGTCCGGCACTTGTCCCTAGCTGACGACGCTTTGAACTTGTGGTGAAGCAGGCCAACCGGCACTTCCCGGTCAGAAGTTTTCTTTCAACAGCCAATCTCACAGACTCTCTTTGTTTCATCTTCTTTTAAATTGTCCCCTTTCACCCCTGCTCTGCCAGCTTCTGGTCCAGCATCCCGATTTCGAGTTCCCATCTTCAACGAGCAAAGCAACCGACGACACTCGCCGACATACGACTGACTGAAATCGCTTCCCGAATCGCGCCTAGACTTGATGGATTCCGCCGTGGCCCTCACGCCGCCGACATCGTTTCGGTTGGCTGTGATGGCTCAGAATGCGTACGAAATGCCGCTCAAGGTCTTTCAGGACACGGCGCCATCGCATCCCTCCCTGTCGCATCTCTGCTTGCTCGTCTTCGAAGCCGTCCTGGAGGTGGTCTGCGTGAGCTTGCCGGGATACATCGTCGCGCGCCTCGGTCATTTCGATGCCGATAAACAAAAATTCCTGGCCAATTTGAATGTCATGCTCTTTACGCCTTGCCTTAGTATGCTACTCTCTCCCACTTTGCGCTCTACTGTTGGATCGCAACCTAACCGTCATTCTCTTAGTCTTCACCAAATTAGCTTCCCAACTCAACGCTGAAAAGCTGTCCGATCTCGCCATCATTCCCGCCATCTTCATCGTACAAACGCTCGTATCATGGATAGTCTCGATTCTCGTTGCCAAAGGATTCCGATTCAACAAGCGAGCCTCCAACTTTGTCACAGCCATGGGCGTCTTCGGCAACTCTAATTCGCTGCCAATCTCCCTTGTGCTCTCCCTGTCGCAGACGATCAAAGGGCTCCACTGGGACAGGATACCCGGCGACAATGATGACGAAGTCGGCGCGCGCGGCATCTTGTATCTCCTAATCTTCCAGCAGCTTGGTCAACTTGTCAGATGGAGCTGGGGATATCACGTTCTGCTAGCTACCAAAGACAAGTACCCAGAATATCAGGACGAATTAGTGGAGGAGGGCCAGTACAGATACAGTGACGAAGAACCAAGCGAACAGGAGCCCGAGATTCTCATTGGTGGCCTGGATGGTGACACTGAAGATGACCGCGAGAGCAATGATTCTGAAGATTACATACCTGCTGGACGCACGCCTCTTGCAAACACCTCTCGGGCTTCTCTGGCCGGCTCCACAGTCGACGATGCCGACTTGCTGAATTTCAAAAAGGGCAACTATGCTGCGAATGGACATGGACTTGCTAATAATGGCCTGGAAGATGACATTCTTTCATTTCCCCGGATCCGTCTTCAGGATGAAACTGAAGTCGAGCAAGGAGCTGTTGGCCACATCAAGAGACGATTGACTTCTCTCAGTGATCGTTCAGTTGGTGCCATGGCTCGCCAGTATCAGCGGCTCCCTCAGCCTGTACAGACCGTCCTCTCCTTCATCTCTACGTCAGTCGCCAAGTCGGTCAACTTCGCTTGGGAGTTCATGAATCCCCCTCTGTGGGCTATGCTCATTGCTGTCATCGTTGCGTCTGTCCCGCGACTTCAGCAATTGTTTTTCGAGGAGGGTTCATTTGTCAAGAACAGTGTCACCAACGCGGTTCAGTCTAGTGGAGGCGTCGCCGTGCCTTTGATCTTGGTTGTTCTCGGCGCCAACCTGGCTCGCAACACTGCGGCTCACGAGACCCCCGTCGACCCCGAGGAGGAAAAGATTGGAACCAAGCTCCTGATCGCCTCGCTATTGAGCAGAATGGTTTTGCCAACACTCATTATGGCGCCCATCTTGGCCCTCACCGCAAAGTACTTGCCTATCAGCATTCTTGATGACCCCATCTTCATCATCGTGTGCTTCCTGCTCACTGGTGCGCCTAGCGCGCTTCAGCTTGCGCAAATTTGCCAAATCAACAATGTGTATGAGCAGACTATGGGTAGAATCCTGTTTCAGAGCTATGTCATTTGGTAAGCCTTTCAAGATATTGATCGCTACTGTACTGTTTACTAACAAAGATGCTAGGATTCTTCCTTCTACTCTTTTCCTGGTCATGATTGCTCTCGAGGTGATCGAGTGGGCCAAGGTGTATTAATATCACTTTCACATCAGTGGATTCTTATGATAAACGAGTCTGGTTTTTTTCTTTCTATTTCTTTGCTTTTGATGGAATACATACATCGCTCGGCGTTAACGGGATGGATTGCTGTGTTGGAAGCGATATTTTAATCTAGCATATAGATACGGCATGGATTACAACAAGGGATGTGCAAACACCAAATTGTATGAGTAGGGCTGGACATCGTGGATTATGTTGCTTTTTCGGCCGATGGCGGCTTTGACGGGAGCAAAACTGGCAGATGATTAGCTTTGGAATGATGTCTTTTGTGCATTGCTATGCGAAGGAATTGTATTTGATAATGTGATTTAAATTTTACATTGAGCGACATTCTGTGCCGTGGCAACTATCTGTTGTATACGAAACATGATCGCTTTGTTTGTGACACTCTACTTGTTGAGAACGGAGCAAAGCGACTGAAGAAATGAGGTAAATGTGAGCCAGCGTGCCACGCCACCGAATTCATCAACTTTCTCCTTTTCTCCCTTTTATTTTTTTTTAAAAACTCTTGACTATTCCCGTCATCTCCGTTCCCAATATCCCAAACTACGCCTCATAAACATGAATGATATAATGACAGCCCTATGCCAAATACTATTGCTACAGCAAGGTGCCTCATCAAGCACCGCCATTGAGCACTGGAGCATCCGAAACCAGCTCCCAGTCCCTCACGGTTCCCTTCCAATCACTGATTCTCACATTCTGAATATCGACCACAATGACGCGCACCTCCTCGCCGGCCACGAAATGCCCTCCGGCGCGGTCCCCCTCGCCACCCTCGGAATTTGTCGCCGGCTGGAACAGGGGCACGCCCTCTTCAAAGGTGTTGTTCTCGAGGTGCTGCTCGACGTAGAACTTTTCCTCGGCGGAGCCAATGGGGGCTATCCGCGCGGCGCCGCCTATCGTCGCGCTGATGCTGGACATGGCGGATGTGTTGAGGTTGAGGAGCAGGGCGGCGAGGCTGGATCGGGTTTCGGGCCCGGGGGATCCGCCGGAGAGACGGCGGCCTTGGGTTGGAGGACGGTGAGAGACCCCTGGGGGGACAATAGATGGTCAGTTTACTGGGATGGAGGTTTTGATAGCAGGGAATTCCCCTTACAGTCGTGGACCAGGAGAGAGACGTTTGGGTTCGTGACGATGTTGGTCGTCTTGCGAGAGGCGGGATTGGTGGTCATGATGATGACGGGAGAAGCCGAGTAGGGCGAGGAGGGGAGGTAGGTGTAGTTCATGAGGGACACGTTGGGCACGTTATCCGTACATGTCGCCAGGTGAAGCTATTCGCAATCCGGTCAGCGCTGAATCCCCTGGCGTTGCGTGACGTCCACCAGCGTCAAACACAACATACGAATCGAGCATTTTCCAGACATTGCACCACCTCGATAGGCAGCGTGCTCGTCTGGCGCTTGTGTGTATCGCCCTCGGACGCCTCGTAGTTGAGCGGGATCTTGTCCATGGCGGCGATGCTGTATGTCGTGAAATTGAGCCGAGAGATACAGCCGTTTTCCCTCTCGTGTGACGTTCTGGGAAAGCCTTCTGTAGGCCCGATCAGCCGATGCCCTTGAAAGCTAAGAGAAATCCCGGGAGTGGGGGAAGAAAGACAAACGGTGCTTCATGGGAAGATCTGGAAAAGATACCTGACCCCGTATGGAGCATCTCCGCAAAGAACAAGTATCCTGGATTACCTAACCCCCCAGCCGTCCAAAACGGGCCAAAACGGGCATGACGTCGCGGGGAAGCTGCTCGGACCGTCTGCTGGCAAGCAATTGAGCAGCCGCGGCTACTTGCGGCATGCGGCGCTCGGCTCTATCCATCAACTACCCGGTTGAGCCTCGACAAGGCGGCCGTTCGTTGATTAATTCCTCCTCTTCAGCGTCTCCCGAATTTCATTTCTTCGACTTCCTGCCATCTCCTCCTGCCAGTCCATCTCCCGCCAGCTGCAGCCTCGTCCGTCCCGCCATGCGTTCTCTCCGCGCCAATCGCCTCTCGCTGAGGCCAGTGCCTCGATTCCTCTTCACGTCTTCAGCCCCCAAGCCCGCGGCGCTGAGCTCCGTGCTCATCGCCAACAGAGGCGAGATCGCAATCCGAATCAACAAGACCGCGGAGCGCATGGGCATCAAGGCCACCACCGTGTACACAGACGTCGACGCCAACTCGTGGCACGCCTCGTCCGGCTTCCAGTCCTTTGGCCTGGGCCCGGCAAACGGCTACCTGGACGGCGAGAAGATCATCGCCCTGGCCAAGAAGCATGGCATCCAGGCGCTGCACCCGGGCTATGGCTTCTTATCTGAGAACTACAAGTTCGTTGAGCGGTGCGAGGAGGAGGGCATCGTCTTTGTTGGCCCGCCTGCCACCGCAATGGCCGATATGGGCAACAAGGCGCGGAGCAAGGAGATTATGAATGCGGCCAACGTGCCTTGCGTTCCTGGATACCACGGCTCCGAACAGGGCGAGGCTGAATTGCTCGCATATGCCAAAGAAATCACCTTCCCCGTCCTCCTCAAGAGCGTGCGAGGCGGCGGTGGCAAGGGCATGCGAATCGTCATGAAGGAGGATGAGTTCCTCACCCAGTTAAAGAGTGCCAGAGCCGAGGCCAAAGCTTCCTTTGGCGACGGCGGAGAGGTCATGCTCGTCGAGAAATACATTGTCCGCCCGCGACACGTCGAGGTCCAGGTCTTCGCCGACAAGCACGGCAACACCGTCGCCCTTGGTGAGCGAGACTGCAGCGTCCAGCGACGACACCAAAAGGTTCTCGAAGAATCGCCCGCCCCTGATCTCGACGAGGTCACCAGACAAGATCTTTGGGACAAGGCAAGGAAGGCCGCCGAGGCCGTGGGCTACGTTGGTGCCGGAACAGTTGAATTCATCCTCGACAAGGACAGCGGCAAGTTCTACTTTATGGAGATGAACACGCGGTTGCAGGTCGAGCATCCCGTCACCGAGATGGTCACCGGCCTGGACCTTGTCGAGTGGCAGTTCCGCATCGCCGCCGGCGAGAAGCTGCCTCTGACCCAGGCCGAGGTCGAAGAGCAGATAAACCAGCGAGGCGCCGCCATTGAGGCCCGTATCTACGCTGAGAACCCCGAGAAGGGCTTCATGCCCGATTCCGGCAAGCTCGTCCACGCCGTCCTGCTGGACGCTGCCAAGAACGATCCCGATATCCGTCTCGACTGGGGCTTCGGCTCCGGCAGCGTCGTCTCGGAGGCGTACGACGGCATGATTGCCAAGCTCATCGTCCGAGGCGACGACCGCGAGACTACCATTGCCAAGCTCGCCTCCGCCCTACGCAACTTTGAAATCGTCGGCCTAAGCACCAACGTCGAGTTCCTCAAGAGAATGTGCGAGTCCGAGGCCTTCATTGCCGGCGACGTCGAGACCGGCTTCATCGACAAGTGGAGAGAGGAGCTCTTCAAGCCCAGACGCATCAACAACGAGGTCTTTGCCCAGGCTGCGCTTGGCGTCCTGAGCAACCAGCTGCAGAGCATCGGCTCCAGCCCGCACGGCCAGTCACTCGGCTTCGGCAACACAAACTCGACCAGCGAACGCAAGCTCGCCTTCAAGGTCCTCGACGGCTACAGCGACAAGGAGGGCGAGGTCGTCGAGGCCGCCGTCTCGCAGACCGGCCACAACCTCTACAGCGTGACCATCTCCCGCAAGGGCGAGGAGCCCCAGCTCTTTAGCAGCATCATCAGCGAGCCTACCATTGAGGGCGAGGTGATTAAGCTCAAGTCCCGGCTCCCCGCCGAGAGGATCGAGTCCACCGTCGTTCCCCAGGAGAATGGCACCGAGACCAAGCTGGCCATCTTCCAGCACGGACTCAAGACGGACCTGGCCCTGCTGCCGCCGTCGTGGTACGAGAAGGCATTGGGACTGAAGGAGATGACTGCCTCTGTGGCAGCACCCATGCCGTGCAAGATCTTGAAGAATGAGGTCACGGAGGGACAGACTGTGAAGAAGGGCGAACCGCTTGTTGTGTAAGTTTGAATGTTTGTCCATCATTCTCCTTTCACAATGTCACTAACAAAAATCTGTATAGCATCGAATCCATGAAGATGGAAACAGTCATTCGATCGCCGCAGGACGGTGTCATCAAGAAGCTCGCTCACAAAGAAGGAGTAAGTCCATACCATGCAGCATCTCTACATCATTCCACGTGCCTCCCTTTTTAGCTAACAGATCATCTCCACCTTAGGATATCTGCAAAGCCGGAACCGTTCTTGTCTTGTTCGAAGAAGACGCTAGCAAAGAGGAATCATCATAAATGGGATAAACGAAGGGCGTTTTACGGTGGTCATGAATCTTGTGTATATTTGTTCATTTTTTTTTTTGGCGAGACATTTCCATCTGTTGGATCGATGGCATTGTAGCGAGAAATAAGAAAGAAAGAAAAGTCATCCTACCTCTCTTCGTTTGCTTATTTCTGCTGTGGTGGAGTGACAATGTCTGTAGTCTGTAACATTTTTCCTGGTGTTTTCTCTGAAAACGCCAACCATTCTCAAGTGATCCATCGATTAAAAAAGATAAATAAGCCCAACCAAACTCCTCATAATAAAATATATCGTCGTTACTCGTTACATCATGATCGCATAACCAGTCCTCGTCAAGCTAACCGTGCAAGCTCTGAGATAAACTTACAGCGAGATACTAACCATCCATATTTAAGCAAAGCCGGCCCCAATATCCTTCGTCGAAATGTAGCAAAGCGGTCGAAACTAACCCTCAAAAAAAATCATTTATAAAACGCCGTGTTATTTTGTCTGCATTTCTGCGTATGTGGCAGGTAAATGCCTGCTCATCCGTGACTGCTTGGCCGCTTCTCGGATGCGCTTCCACCAGTCCTTGACGCGCCGCGGCCAGCTGGGATCCGTAGGCGAGACGTAGGAACAGAAATTGTTGAGAAGATCCTGTGTCGAAGGGTATCAATAAGCGAGATGACTTTTTCCAGATTGGATTGGGGAGGGGGTCTTTTTTTTGGCCCCCTCTCCCCTTTCACCACCGTGATATTTCCATCATTAATTGTATCCGCCCGGTCGGTGCGAAAATAAGAAATAGCCAAAAGGGGGTGAAAAAGCTTACCTCTTCTTTCGCCAAGGTGATGAACCCTAGCACAAAGGCTACCCACGCCAGTGTCCCCTTGGTGTTGAGAAATTGGTTGCCGCCTCGAAATTCTATCGTCCCGGTACACCGCCGCCTCCTGCGGTGCGGATAGATGTTCTGGAAATTCCAAAGAACATATCGGTTGCCTTGCATGTAGTGGCATAAATCCGCCTTTGTGCTCTGGGATCGAATCTCAGCAGCCACCTTGCGCAGCGTGCCGACGCTCTTCCCCCAGCCCAGCGTCTTGTTCAGCCCGGAATCGAGGCTCTGGCTGTTGAGACGGCAGTAGTGATTGTCGCGACGGGTGGTGGGCAAGATTTCTGCAACGTAGTCTTCATAAACGACAGTTGCAAAGGCAATCTTCTTGAGAGTCCTGAGCGAGAACTTGTTTTTGAGGTTGACGGGCGTGACATGAACATGCCCACCACACGAGACGTCTTCCTGAGGCTTGAAGTGTACGCGCATGGCCTCCCAAAAGTCGGATATGATAGGGCTCACACCCCGCATGGTATCAAGCTTTGGGGATACAACCTCCATGCACACTTTTGCCGGTTTGCATCTGCGTCAGCGCATATTTCTCATGTGCGTGCATGATAAGATACATGAAGCACATGTACATGAATATCCCATCTTGCAGCAAGATAGATGGGTGAAAGCCGGAATTACCAACCATATGGTCGTGGCCGCTTCAGCGACCCGTCGCGTGTGACGAACCATTTCCCTCCATAATACTCGGGGTGTTTGCTGTACTTGGAGCAATCGTCGTGGACCGCTTGTATGCCCCTGTTGCGCAGCTTTTGCGCCAGTTGTCGATACCAATCCACGTTGGTGAAGCTGTCACAATTTCCATATGGCCTGGTCACAGCCTCAATCTCTACACCGAAATTGTAGTGCCTCATGCCATGGGGCATCTTGGTCAGGCTGATGAGTCGTCAAGGCGGATTCGAACCCAAAACCCGGAAAAAGATGAGGCTGAAGCTGCACTTACAGCCTGAGCAAAACAACCACAGGTCCACCAAACAAGTACGTACAGGGCTAATTTGCGAGAGGTTTGGTTGGGAAGATAAAGCGAGGGGAAAACTTGGTTGCCAGACGGGCCTAATTGAGGCCGTTGATATCTGATTCCAAGTCCATGCTTTCTAACTCGCCGGCCACGTCTTGGCTCTTCCCGTGGTTCTAGACACAATTTACCACGCTTGTGCGGATAATTGGTCGATTGATTCTGATGGGATGCAGATGCTCACATGACAACGTCGATGCTTTCGCAGCTTCTTGTTTTGTGCGACGCATAGCAACGCAGCGCTCTTCGAGCCTGTGCTTTTGTACACGGCATTACACGTACTCGTGCAAGAACGGCAGGGATCAAAGCCATGGGGCGGCATGGCCAGCAAAACTCCAGCCGCCCAGCCACCGTTGCGTTGTCAAACACCATCGTTACCCCTACCTCCTTGGACTCCTTTTGTGAACACTGCCTGTGCCTATACTGCCCTTCGCGCGGAATCCACAGGCGAACAGCGGTCCCCTATAATACGGTGGCCCTCGGTTGATGAGGTGGTGTGGAACGTATCAGCTAGGGATCGCGCTGTATGCTCCGAAGCCGGGCATGTCCGTGGCGGTCTTTCCAAACAAATTGCAAAACAGAAAAGAAGCGCCCGAGTTGGTGAGCTCATTGCCACGATTGGGGGGGCTCCTGGTCTCTCCAGTTCAAGACGTGGTGAAGTCCAATTGGTGCCTGTAATCCCATGCCCTGCAGGGCCATCGTCATTCTGTCCTTTGCTGCCCAACCTGTGGCACGGCATCAGAGATCCACAATAAGAGGCGGCCACACTTCAACGGAGCATCCTGGCTGGCTGCCGTGGAATCAACGAATCCTCGTGCCATGACGTACTTCCGCCTCGCAGTAAACATCACTGGCAACAGTTAGCAATATGTAAGACCGCGGTATTGTGCGTAAAATGTGAGCAGACAGTTCAAGCCTTCTCCGCATTCAAGCCAACCCATACTGCAGACCTTGGGTCTCAGAAGCACAACAGCTCTCGTCGTTTGGGCCACCCCGCCCATTTCCTAATTCGACCATGGAGGCCATCCGCAGCCAATCAGTGGGGAGGAAGCAGTCGAGAATGCCGGCCCAGAAAGCAGCGTCAGCGTTGTCTCTAGACCGCCGGCCAACCAAGTTATACTTTGCTTATGGGAGTAACTTGCATATCAAGCAGATGAACCGTCGTTGCCCCAATAGCAAGTTCATCGGCACAGCTCGCCTTTGTAACTACCGATGGCAGATCAACGAGCGTGGATACGCCAACGTCACCCAAGCAGAGGGACATTGGGTCGATGGACTTGTGTACGAGATTGATGACACCGACGAGGCCAAACTGGATATAAATGAGGGCGTTGCGAAAAATGCATACAACAAGCGATACATGACAGTTTTGCTCTATCGAGCACAGAGTACCTTGTATCGCCGTCCCGTCGCTTGGATTGTGGAAAAGGGCGGGCCGGCGGCGGTGGGCAGACAGGCCAGGCTTGTAGCCCAGGGGCGGCGAGAGAGCTCGTTGTCGCACTGGCAAGACGACGTTCTCATATATGTCAATCCAAACTGCACCATTGACAGTAGTCCCAAGGAGGAATATGTCAATCGGATCAATCTGGGTATTGCAGATGCCAGGGCCCTAGGCGTCGACGAGGACTACATCCGGAACTGCATCCGCCCCTTTATCCCGGAGACCACAGAAAGGCTTTCCTCGGGCCCGACATCCGGGACCCCCAAGCTCAGAGTGCTAGCAGTCGCCCGGGGTAGAAGCGCGAACTCACCCGCGCGGTCTGATGGCCGCTCTCCGGCGCGCAAAGAGCGATCGGTGAGCCGATCGAAGCAGCATTTCGAGCGGCGATCTCAATCCTGGCAACCCCCTAAGAACGAAAACGACCAGAAAAAAGACCAGGCGGCCAAGTCAAAGGTGCCACCCCTGCCCCTGCGACCACAGTCGAATCAACCCCGTGACATTCCCATCGTGGCTGTACAGGAGGTACATCTTTCGAGCTGGGGCTGGTGGCCGGCATTTTCATGAGAAATGTTAGAAGGGACCCTAGAGGCTGTGAAACCCGGGTACGGTGAAGAAAGTGTTGCAGCTTGAGGTCCATTGCCATGTAAGTGTCTAATTGCTGTGAAATCTATTATTCGTCTGTCATTGCTGTTTCGGCCAGTCCTGCTGACGCTTCTATACGATTCCAGGATTATCATAAAGATATCCCTTTTTTTTTTGGGTCCCTTTTTATTTTTTTTTATTTTTTTTCCCACTTGAATTAGCTCCATCCGCCGTCAAGGCGCAATCTGGAAGACCCTAGGGTCATAAATCAGAGCTTTGAGCGATGCCGCCTCAAGATCAGGGTCTTACTTTTGGGTGATCCATTTCGCGATGGACCGTGAGATCGTCCTTTCGATCCGTTCGCATAATCCCATAAGAGTCTAGTTAGGGTCATAGCCTTTTGTGGAATATCGCCATCTTTTTCTCCTCCGTAAACCAATACCGTGGGTCTGCAAATAATTTTTGCTGCTGATTTCTTCGCTCCTCCAACCGTCTCAACAAATAGACCAGGGGCAACATCGAACAGATAAGAAGCGTTCTTTAGAGCTTCGGACGGTTTGCCGGCATCACTTGAGCTGAGAATCGCACCGTCGTTGGCAAGATTGATACACTCATAAGTGTCCAACTTTGTTCTTGCGGTTCGCGCAGGCCACCTGAAAGTGAAGATGTTTGGTGAAAGCTGAAGTCGGTGGGCAAGATCCACTGCCGGATCAACTATGTTTGTCCGAAGAGAGCTTTGCAGTTCTGCTGCGGTTAGGTATGGCACAACAACTGATATGAGAGAGGCAAGGTCTTCGGTAATAAGGTTGAGATATTGTGCTCTTCTGGACTTGAAAGAGGTCTGGCTAGTCAATGCCGTGAGCGTCTCAGCCCTCCACTCTCTGCAATGCGAGATATCTATTTTTCAGATTTTATTAGCTGCCGTACTGAATAGAAATGCTTCATAGAATAGCACGTACCTCGAGGAAGCTTAGATATTGCATTCTCTAATTCATCAATCCACGCAGCAGTAGTTTCGCCGTCACCATCATCCAAAGGGCAGTAGAAAGATTTGGCAAAGAAGACCAGCCACAGGTATTGCATTATGAGTGCTCTGAAATGATATTCATCGGAATGCCAGACAGTAAGGCAGCTTGTCGCGGGCTCTCTCATTAACGATACAAATCTTGTTGATTGAGCTGGGCTTGGCTGGCAGCGGAAGTGACCACTGGCTAGATCGTCTATCACAGGCCGAATGCGATGCTCAACCCAGCGCTGAATGTTTTCGCATAGACTTCCATAGGCTTCCCGAGCTTCAGCCTCCGTGATGTCTTTCCTCAGCGAAGACGGGCGACTGGTCTGGCGCTTCGGTTCTTCGGCAGCCTTGTCTTTTTTACTAGATTGGCTTCGAGCTTGCGCGAGCTGGGCCTGCGCCTCTTTCAACTCCTGCTGTAGCGTTTCCAACTGCTTTGATAGTGCTGTATTCTCCTTTTCCTGTACTTCAAGCTCTTCCTGTCGTGAATCCAGAACTTCTTCGGTGAACTGGCGCAATCGAACTTCATCTTCCAGCTTGCTCTTGTCGTCTTGCTTGCGTGGTGTCTCTGCGTGGGTGGGTGCCATTGTTCTTTTGCTTCTTGTTCTGGAAATATAAATCTCTTGAGTGTGGTATGCTTCGAATGGTATGAAGAGAAAGAACGGAACTGGATGGGGTAGTATCGTTTTCTAGAAGTAGAAGTTTATGGAGCAAGTGGCGGGAAGGTCATCGATTTGACCACGCCCGTTATTTTTGCTGACAGTGCGTAATGGTTTCCTTTTGGCCAATACCTTGATCCTGGCGCATTGATTTGACGGCTCGGCAGAAGCGTAAATGACTCCATACAGGCTCAGTTGACTCGGGTTACCAGACAATGAACTGTCGGTGCGTAGCCTGACCATGTCATCCTGGTGGATCTTCCCCCTTACCAGCTGGATGGCGGCTGGATGGCATCTTCATGCCCGAAGCAGCAGGCATCCGTTGGGCTCCACCACGTACCCGTCGATGGGTTTTAGGGATCGGCTGTGTGCATGCAGGTCCGGGGTGCCTTGTCTGTAAAAGCGCGCGTTTATGCTCCAAGGCTGGCATTTCAATACTCGTACCAGACCAATGATTATTTGTATAACTGTTTCTGAAGCTCAATCAGTCAGCATAAGAATCCTGAGCTGGTCATTTTTTCCCATCCTAATATCTGGCGGAGCCCCAGCAAGGTTACCTGAAGCATCTCATTGGCACCATCGGGAACTGAACGGCAGCCCCCAGTTCATGACATGCCTGGATAGAGACAATGACTCTCTGCTAAGCCAGCGTATAGCGCATCCGACTATCCAAACCTGGATAATCCGCGAGCCTTCCCACCACTTGCAGGGTAGTTTTTGGCGTCACCTACACTGGCCCAAGAATTTCCCGTACCAGGTATCTTTTTATTCTGGAAGCCGAAAAGCCTGAGCATGGGCGAAGAGAAAAGAATTGTCGTGTCAATTGACTTTGGAACCACTTTTTCAGGCGTCGCTTGGGCAGAGACGACTCAAGTAAGTCCAGAAGCAGAAGCACGCAAATGTTTCACGCCGCGCTAAAGCCTCCAAGCCGGATGTTCAGCATGTGTTATCCGACTGGCCATCTGTTGGTTCGTCCCAAAATAGTCCCAAAGTTCCGACAGAGCTGCGGAAAATAGCAACAGGGTGGCAATGGGGTTTCCAGATCCCAAAAGCGGCAAAGAGAAGTCGATTCTTCAAGTTGTGAGTTGCAGGCCGTGATAGCCATTGGCGATTTCATGCTAATCCCATGACTTGAAGGAGATTGGATGAACCGTCGGATACAAAGACTGATGGAGAGTCGGCTCAAGAACTGACAAGGGTGTATCTATCATGCCTCTACGCACATTTCATCAGCGTCTTAGAGGGCCAGATGTCCCCCAGTGTAGTGCAATCAACTCCAATGGACGTTGTTGTTACCGTTCCAGCTATTTGGTCAAATAATGCAAAGCAGGAAACGGAAAATGCAGCATCATTAGCTGGTTTCGGTGGAGAAAAGAAGATTAAGCTTATATCAGAGCCTGTTGGTGTTATTCAAGACTGCAAATCAAGGGTGACGCTAACGGTATGCAGGAAGCGGCTGCCTTATACACTGTCAAATACTTGAGCCCTTCTGTTCTGCAAACCGGTCGAAGATTTCTGGTCTGCGACGCGGGAGGAGGAACTGTTGATCTCATCACATATGAGGTTGCCAAGGTTCAGCCTCTGCAGATGAGAGAAGTCACAGAAGGCACTGGAGGGAAATGTGGGTCTTCGATGCTCAACATGAGGTTTCGACGATATCTGAAGCAGGCACACGGAGATAAATATTGGACGGATGAGCGACTTGTCATTGCCTTGAGCGATTTTGAATCGGTACGTACAATTTCGAGCGCTTTTCCGAGGATACGTTAGTCTGACTATAACCAGTTTAAGAAGGATTTTTCCCCAAGAGGTGAACCACTTACACTGAAAGTCGATCCATCTCTTGGCTTGAGACGAAATCGATTCACAATACCACAAGACGACATGACAATCAAGATATGGGACCCAATTATGAAGGACATAATTTGCTTGATCAATGAGCAGATATCAATGGCCGATGACGAAGTTGCTGCAGTTGTCCTTGTTGGTGGGTTTGGCCAAAATAGATACTTGAAAGCTCGCGTCCGCGAAGCCATCATCCCCGGAGTGCGAGTTCTTCAACCGGAGAATGGTGTCACTGCAGTAGTGAAAGGGGCTGTTATATATGGCCTTGGGAACTATCAGCCCGCGATGGCCCCCGTGGGTATTGCATCTCGAGTCGCCAGACGGTCATACGGCACCTGCCTATTGGCAAGATATGATCCGTCGAAGCATGATCGGAACGAAGCGTAAGAAAGCACGGCTCTCATATGTGTGTATTATTTAACGACATGAACAGGTTTTGGTCCGACAAAGAAGGAGAATGGGTCGTTATCGAAATGTGTTGGTTCATCCGCAAGGTATGTCGAAAGAAGACCAAATGACGATTCTTCAGTAACAAAGGCTAGGGACAATCGTATCCTGAAGGTAAACCTTCTAAGATCGAGTACCAGTGCGATATACCTGTTTTCATGGGACATAAACCACAGGCAGACATCGAAATCTTCAGCAACGATGATGAGCGTGATGCTCCAATACACATCAGTGGTACTACCAAGCGAGTAGCTACGCTGTTTCTCGATCTGCAGAAAATACCCAAATCAGCAAAGGCAGCTGCGAAGAAGAAGAAAATGGGATGGCATCGATATTATTGTCTGACTGGGGTAATTGAAGCAAGCTATGGGTCAGCAATGATAACTTACACAGTGAAGCTTGGAGGTCCGCTCGCCCTATTGTCTATCCCACAACGACTGACCTGAACATGACGTTAATCTAACATCACAATAGGTGTAACGCACGACGTTATCAAGGTTCGATACGAGTAATTCAGTCGGCTGTGCGGCTCCGAGCTTCTGCATTCCGCGATTATCATCAGAACTGCTGGTTATTTGATGAAGGCTGCACAAGGGCGTCTATATTTTTCACAAGGTGGCTTTGCTCTTTTGGTTGGTGTAATGGCTCTGTTCTTCCTAGTTGGAAATTGGACGAGAATTCCTGAAGTAGCTGAAATCCCTGATGCTCTCGTGCTGATGTAGTTGATCTTTTCTTCGTTCATGGTAAATTGTAAGTTCTCGGGTAGGTACCTACCTGCAACTTATAGAGGTTCAGGCAGGCGGAAGTGCATCACGTGATATCGCGTTCTGCCCCTCTTCGTGGTCGCGTCTCCAAGATAATCCAACATTTGTTCATCTACGCCATATCGCGACATGCGTCGCTTTCGGTGTCGGTAGCTAATGACCCGAGATCCAGATTGCCACTGTGCTTCTCGAGCGTGTGGACATGGCTGCCGACACGGGCGGGGGTGGTCCGCCGCCGTCTACTCTGGCCGCACAGCTGGTGGAAAGCATTGCAGCGTCGACCAAAGTCTCCCGAACCGATGAAAATAGTGAGCTCAAGGGGCTCTTGGCCACCATCCAGCGCGTAAAGGATAATCCAGACCTCCTCAAGTCACCGGATGATCGAATTGAGCACAACCATATGCTTATCTATGTATACTGCCGAGTGGTTCTCGAAAACATAAAGCTTGACGACCCATTTCTTGATCGAGCGAACGTACGAACCGAGTCTCAAAAGGCCATCAATTTCTTGAGATTTACAATCAAAGAAACGCCATCGGTGTTGCTACATCAGAATGAAAATCGTGGACTGCTCTTCCGTGGCCAAGAACCCCTGTGGGTTTGGCTTTTGCCGCAGCTGCTGAGACTCTTGGGGCACCCTCAGTGTCTTGAGCTGGATAGCTCCATTGAAGGATTTCTGCAGTATATTCTCCTTCTAGTTGCACGAACCGGGAGTTTGTGGAAATTGGCTCCGTTTTTGGGCCTGTATCTTCGTGCATCGTTAACATGTATGTCATCCCATTGCTGCTCTAGGCGGGGGCTAATGATTACCGAATCGCTGTAGCTCTCCTTGATCACCTCCAAAGCCCGTCTCTCCTCCCTTCTCATACAGATCTTCGTACGGATCTAGAACTTCCTCCACCCTTTGCACTTGATCAAATTTTGGCCGAAGATCGAGAGGCCACGACTAAGCGCCTATCATACTCGATTTATACAGTACGACAGGGATTGCATCTGGCGTCAAGCCTGGCGAGAGTGCTTGCATACCCCCTAACATCGCCTGATTCAGCATTTTCAAGCAGCGTGTCGCTATTGGAGAATGGACCATGGCTTATAGATTCTTATCTGGATTTGCGTCATATCCAAAAGCGATGGGAGTTACCATCCCAAAGCAATCCTCTTCCGCTTGCCGAGTTGACTATGGAAATCATCAAATCCTCGATTACTAGTGATCACCCCAGTGCTTCGCTTATTGAGAAATCGTGTGCTCTCCTCATTCTGCTCTGCAGCGAGATGATTTCACCCCCTGACGAGCTGGTTCAACCAACTCCCATTGGCGATCAGGCCAGGTCAACCTACTGCATGGCTCTTATAAGCATTGCTCAAGTATCCTTAAAGTCCTACTCGATAGGCCGCTTCGCAGCGTCGAAACTTGTTCAGGAACTCGTTTTACTGTCATCGCAATACTCGACTATTGGAGAAGATACAGATATTTGGGTAAGTGATGTGCACTTGATATGAAGACTGCTTTCCGTACTAATGAGCCTCAAGCGAAGTGTGGCATTTCTAAGACAATCAATTGGCTCTTTAGCGCAGGAATCACAGGAATCCTTCCAGGATAGTATACACCCGTCAAAGTTTCAGGATGCCGAGCTTCGAAAGTGCATTCAGGATCTTCACCTAAACTATGATGCCCCTAACCATGCGACAAACGCGAAGAAAAAACGAAAGCTCTCAGAAGAATCAACAGATTTTCTGACGATTCTAACACATGGTATATTTGAAACCCTTCATGTAACTCCACCATCAGACGATGACGTGGTGTTGCTCGAGGAGATCTTCCTGTAAGTTTTCTATGCCGCTATTGCATTATTAATCTGATGCATAGATAGG